ATTACTATTTATGAAACACAACAACGTTTTCTTAATAGAATAAGACACCACAAAGTTACCCAATATAGTAGTAGTGTTGTAGAACCATTTACAAAATGTAATGAGGATGCCAACTCAACTCATAACACTCAGACATCCATCAGCTGAGGAAACACTGTCATCATCTCACACTAGAGTCATGTCATGTGTGGAATAGAGACTGATTTTTTACTGTAAAGTCATCATCATCATCACCGTGTCACGGCCATCTTCCATGCTGTGCTTACCTGACGGCAGCTCTACAAGCTGTATTTTTAAGTACTGCACTACATGTACCCCTGTATACCATACTGTATTATATTAATGAATGTAATGAATATACAGTACTATATGAACAAATTAAAAAGCAACACTTGTACAATATGGCTCCACCTTCTGCTTCCTACTTTAGCCATCTGAGACATTGTGGGGGCTGGCAATCATCCCATCTCTATGTTCCACTGTGGCAATGTATCAACCATCTCAAGTCCCAATATAATATCGTTACTGTACTTAGTGGCATAATTATTTTATAAAACTTTAATATCATTTACTACAGGTATGTGCCTCAGCTTATATTGATAGTTCTAAAATACATTTGAAAACTTAGAAAAAATTATGTTAGGTTAGGTTTGAAAAAATTATATGTAGCATCAAAACACGTCTCAGCATCACTGTACCTTAGTCAGGCACAACTGTGTGACTCTTTTAAACAAATCCTTCACTCAAACCATTTTTTAAATCACTATTCATATTACTGATTACAAGAAGGTTTTAAGGGAATAAACATACCGTTATCATTACCGGTATACAGTACTGTACAGTAGTATTGTTAAAGATGGATTATATGCCAACAGCAGTTTAACCATAACCTATTTATATGTTGAATTCTTTACTCGATCATCAATTGTTTTACCGGTATTCCTTTAAAGTGAATAAAGAATCAGTTCGGTAGGTAATCAGAACAGGAATGCTACAGTACAGTCGGGGTAAAAAGTTCACTGCTGCACAACATGAAGCAGCATCGACCCTAAAAGATGAAACAGTCAGGGTAAGTCAATTCGTAGACTCATTCCCGTGACTGAGTTTCACCACGGGGAGTGAACTTTTGTCCCAGACTGTACTGTAGCATTCCTGTTCAGATTACAGAAGAATACTCAGTTAATTAACTATCTAATCATCTTTTAGAACAGGTTTATGAAATAATATCATGGTCAAGTAATCTAACAGAACCTAACCTCATCTAACCTAACCAAACATATTCATTAACACACGAGTATAATGCATCTCAATTACTGAAGCAAAATATTACACAATCACATGGCTGTGAGCTCCTCCTCATCATAGATGATCAAATAGACACTGTACTGTACGTACTTTTGTTAAAAATTACTCTAAAAATATACTGTACTTTCCTTAAAGAAACTCAATATTAATTACGTTTCAAAATATATTTCCATCATTACTAGATTTTAATTCTTATTGAAAAAAAGTACAAGGCTTATAATCACATGTATTATTTCCATACAAGTCATAGTAATACAGTATTGTACTGTACCTCCAATCAATGACTTGTGACGACTACAAGTTTTCAACACTAAATCATTTATGAAAGATGACAGGATCCAACCCAAACAAACTAATATAACTTAACCTAACCACCTTAGCTTACCAAACAATCATAGATCATTTCTATGGTTAAGTTAAGTTGGTTAGGATACTTGATTAGGTATGGATCGGTCCGACTAATTACCCAAATGTAGCAAAATGTAGCCGCAATGAAGTCAAATAATGGTCCTACATGAATAAATCGGACTGCTAATCACTTCTCGACTAGTATTTGGTGTCACAAAGTCACAAAAAATTGGAAAACTTACTTTAATCTGAGTTAATAGATCGCGTGCATGTACCGAGGGAGCTAGTAATTACCCAAATGTAGCCAAATGTAGCCGCAATGAAGTCAAATGATGGTCGTACAAGTGTAAATCGGGCTGTGAATCACTTCTCGATTATTATTTGGTGTCATAAAGTCACAAAAAATTGGTAAACTTAATTTAATCTGAGTTGTGTTGTGTTAGGTTAGGTTAGGTTAGGTACATGCTCTTGATCTATTAACTCAGATTAAATTAAGTTTACCAATTTTTTGTGACTTCGTGACACCAAATACTAGTCGAGGTTAGGTTAGGTTAGGTACATGCACTCGATCTATTAACTCAGATTAAATTAAGTTTATCAATTTTTTGTGACTTCTTGACACCAAATACCAGTCGAGAAGTGATTGGCAGTCCGATTTATTCATGTAGGACCATTATTTGACTTCATTGCGGCTACATTTGGGTACATTTGGGTAATTAGTCGGACCCGGTATGGATAGCTCATGTCATCTGCTTTCTTACATGATTCTACACATGCATCACTGCTCTTCCTACAGAAACATAATGTGATGGATGTACAATACAGTACACAGTCAATTCAAATATATAATATGTAGTATATCTTTATGTATCTGACCTGTAATCACAAATACCTGTACAGTACTGAACACCATCTGCCTTAGAGCACTCCTCACACTCCAGCATGTTAAAGCAAACCATCACACAACTCTTGACTAATTTTAGCATGAACAGAATACTGGGCATTGTAAAAAAAAAGTATTCATAAAATACTTTGATGTAATTCACTAATATTAGACAATATTCATGGATAATGCATTGTCATTTGCCAGCAACACACAGCACCACACACAAACAGCATACCGGCATATGCTGCTCTCATTCAGATTATCAAAACAATTTTTCAGTAAATGTTAAAAATAAAATTTCTTTCCCACAGAAAATATGTAGTTATCACAATGATTGCAACAACTTTCCTTTTACTGTACAAGGTAAAGTGAAATTCGTAAAGATAATAGCACAACAAAAGATTAGAATTACTTGAACTTTTACCAATACTGTACAGTTCAGGTATATAAAAAAATGATTCATTGCCAAGTACTGTATGTCATATCAATACAAAACTTTACTGCCTTTTAACAAACTTTCATCATTCTCTCGTCAATATACACCTATTAAGATAAGTAAAGTGAAAAAGAACCATAACTTAACAACGCCTCAAATAATCAGATATAATGCAAACAAAAGAGGAGAGTTTGGGGTAATGCTTGACCCGCGAGGCTGGTGAGCGACCCCTTGTCTTACTTCCTGCTCCTCTCGAGTCCTACACACTCCAAAACATCACAATATAAAATAAATATACCAGACTTCTAACCATTCATGGGTAAAGATAAGCACAAGATTGGGAATAAGATGTGTGAGGGAGACAGTATAGAGATCCCAGGTGTAAGCGAGAGAGCAAGGAACCAAGGTTACCTGGGTGTGAGGTGCCTTCAGGGCCACCATCATCACACCCCCACGCTCCCACAATTGTAATATTTCTTCCTCTAACTTTACCTCAACTCTCACACAGCTGAGGTCGTCTGCAGGTACTCACCGACACGACTAGCAGCAGGAGGCCACGACACCCTCGGGACTGTTGTCTCACTAGGAAAATTTAAAAATTTTCCCGGAGTGGAGCAACCTGAGGAGCTGTCACAAACCCGTTTTGTTTACTGCAGTTCACCACAGGCTTCCCACACTACCTCGCTCTCTGGACATTGGTACCTCTCCCTCCTCCTCTCATGCACTACCTCGCTCTCTGGTACCTCTCCCTCCTCTCTCATGCACTACCTCTCACACACTACCTCGCTCTCTGGTACCTCTCCCTCCTCTCTCATGCACTACCTCTCACACACTATGTACCTCTCCCTCCTCTCTCACCCACTTCCTTGCTCCTTGTTAACTCTCCTATACTTCCTTCTCATTCATACATAACCTGTCTAGTACACAGTATGATTATGATACATCCCCTCCCTACACACCCCCTTCTTCCTTTCCTCCCCATGCACATTTCTTGGATCTCATGAAAATTAGGAACCCCAGCTTATTTCACCTGATGATAAAATACCCTAATGCTAACTTAACCAAACCTGACCTAACCTAACCCCTTCATTTAGTGTTAGGGTATTTAAATCACCAAATGAAATGAAATAATGTATTCCATTTCTTTTTCCCCCTGAACAATTTCCCTCTCTCCTCCCCAGTCTTCAAGTTCACATTAACAGCCTCCTCCCATCCTCATACAGTAACATACACCTTCATGTATGATATGCTTTTACTGTACCTTATATAGATGCAAATATAAGTTGTATATAGCACTGGAAATAAGGTACACCATGAAATGATTTATTTTATGCATTATTTTGTCTAAAATTTAATAGAAATCTTGTTATTGGAAGTGTGGAGTAACCCTGATAACTCTCTTCCTGTAAACAAATAAAAATACGAAAAATAAAGGAAATTTAAGTTGGTTTAAATGTTATTCTGAAGCTTGTACGTTATATGAGCCAGGGAATGAAACGATTGTCGTTTATTATGACATATTTTATTGTGTTTTTTCAGCATAATGAGGTCATGTTAATCAAAGTATTATAGAAGGAAGAATAAGAAGCAGGTGGCAGAAAAATAATTGTTCACAAGATGATGCTTCCTTGTTTCACTAATGTGCCAGAGAATGAAGATCAGAACCTAAATGGATCACGGTCCTGGAACGAACCAACAGGTAGTCTCAACCTCATTGTTTTTCATGATGTATTTTTTCACAATGTGGTTTAGAATATGAAACTTTGTATCAACCTTTATCTTTTCAATCTTGATATATGCTATTTAAATCAATCTTCAACATAAATTATTTGCTTTGAATATTGTACTGCATCATATATCCCACTGAATATAAGATACATTGATATGAAACCTTAAAGTACGTACACAACTATTAAATATCACCTATAAATCTAAATCTATATGATATTTTAAGGTTTTCTGTTGATGTATATTTTTACTTTATTTTCGGTTTTCAGCAGTAGTGTTGGTGTGCGAGGGTCAGGCGTTTATACTACCTCCTCTGCAGACGAAATTGGGGAATCCGTTCTGGACCACTTGTCAAGTTGTGACGGGCAGGTGTAAGAAAGGAGAAGATCGATTAAATGGCGGTGGGTGTACTGGGGTGAGGGAGGTGCCGCAGTAGTCCAAGATGGAGGAGGTGGACCTGAGCGACCAGCCCTCGCAGAGGATCAACTCTGACAACTTGAGTACTGACCTGGACGACTCCCCGGACCCCAGGATTCAGGTGGGTGTGTTGTGCCAATATCCAGAACCTGCCCGTTACCTGAAGCTTTTAAACAATAATTTACCTATTTATATAATTGTATCAGAATATGATTAAGTAGATGTTCATAAGTCTGAGCTTATGACATTGCCAGGGGTGAAAGATTAAACAATTAGATGTAATAGTTCTGAAATTACTCGACTATACACACCCTAGTCCAGAATACTGTACCCTATTGGCAGTGCCTCATCTGTATGCAGGGTTCTGAGGATGTGGACTCTAAGTATAATATTGTAATATGTATTTCGTAATATCTCTTGTACTCTTGAACTTTCAACTTAAGAACATTTCACTTTACTTTGACTACTTTTTTTATCCTCATCTCCACTAATTGACCTATTAGCTCCATGGGCGGTCGGTCACGTCTCTGTTATGCACTGATGGCAAGTACTGTACTGGCTCCAGAATGTATCTATAACTGCATTAGTGTTGGTCAGGTCTGGTCTTGAATACGCTCACACTCAGTGCCATGACAATACTCACTGGCAGATTGTTTCTAGAGTTCACTACTCTTTCCCAAAAAATTTTGCCCTGACAATTTTCTGAACATGTGGCTTCTTCAACCTGAGTCTGTGACCACTAGTGGGGCGGGTATATGTTAATTCAAAGTATGAACACTCGACTGAGTATAATGCCCTCTGGGGTGTTAATAAACTTCTGTTAAGTCGCCCCTTGCCCATCTATTATCCCTTACATTTCTATTATATAAGCTAGGTAACTGCAGGTGTTATAATCTCTGAATACCTGAGGTGCCAGAGTGCAGGCAGTTTGGTGGCCCTCTTTGGTATGTTCTCAATCAACTGAGTCTTAGCATATCTCGGACTGTAGTTGAAAAGTTCCTAAAAATTTGCCAAGATTCAGTTCCAAAATGTGACACGCACTATTGATACAATATATATGCTGAACCCTAAAGAAATTATGACAAACCTCAATAATATTTTGAAATATAGAAGATTTTGATGATGTTTAATAACTCCAATATATTAACAATGATTTAATCTGGTGCCTTTGCTGTGCAGGTTGAACTAGAACGACTCAACACCTCCACTGATACCATCAACAAGTTGGAAGTTGATCTTGATGTAAGTATAACATTTTTTTAATTTTCAGTGGTTCACGATGTTACTGTTTTACCACAAACATAAATTACACTGGTTATCATAGAATTCCTGGAATAAATCTCTCAAACTTCTTTCAGAGAGATCCTAAGTACAGTATTTTGTAGTGTACAGCACGTAAAAGGTGGCAGGCAAGCTGATTTGTCCTTGTCTAATAATTCCCAATGGAGTTTTAATGAATAGATAATATCTCAACAGTGATGTCTTATGTTCTTAACAAAGTAGGATCATAATTCCCTTTTCTATCCCCTCTCTTTTTTTTATGGCGTGTTATACTGTACAGGTCGACCCAGATTTACAAGAATTTGAACAGCAAAAATTCATAGTTAGAAGAATAGTTATCCCAAGCTTTGATTTATGAGCTAAAACCCTGAAGTTACTACAGGTATCAATGTTTTTGTCAGTAATAGAACATTAATATAGTACAATTGTTTTTTTAATCTTAAATTTACTGAATTTCTTCTTTTTTTTAGTTGAAATCCAAACCAATTTACATTAGTACTGTACTATTTGGATTTATTCCAAACAATAAAGAGAGGTTTGATTCATTTTTGGTAGCCAGAATTTTACAAACTTAACTTTTGGATTTTCAAAGGGAGCCTTTTTCAGGTAAGGAGTATAGTGCGATGTTTTTTTCTTACATTTGTGTTAGAAATTTCATAGATTTTCCCCCAAGATATGAAGAGGAGAGATTTTGAGTTGAAAAAGTGCAGCTGAAAAATTTATAATTTCATATAATGTCTAATATGTTTCAGGAGGCTCGTATGTTATTTCGGCAGCTCCTGGCTGACTCAACCCACCGTATTGACCTTCTGGCCAAGCGGCTGGGGAAGTGCGTGGAACAGTCTCGTCCGTACTATGATGCTCGTATTAACGCAAAACAGGTGCAGTATTTCCAGTTCACTTGTACTGTATGTTGTACTAGTAAAACACACTTAGCTTGCTGCTAACATCTGGTGTAACATCCCTGGAGTTTTTGCTGCTATCTGACTTCTCTTAACCCTGCAAGTGCAATATAACTAATGAGCTGTATCTAAGCCTTACAGGTGGGTCAGTGAACCTGGAAAGCTCATACTGTGACTCAGGTGATCACCGGCCCAATATATGACACCAATAATTTTATCTCTACTGTGAACCCAAAGGAACAGTTGCCATAATTTGTGTTCACTATGGTGCTTCACCAGCTGTAAGGAAGGAATCATGGTGTCTGTGTACTGTACTGTACTCCCATAGTTATCACATCTCATCTCCACAACAAGTGAGGCTTAGTCTTGAGGCTACAGGAAACAGACTGTTAACAAGTTGTGTATAAACTCTTTGCTTCTTACTTATAATCTTGAAAATTAACAATACAGTAATCAGTGTTACAGAATCAATTACAGGTCGCCTTCATTGATCCTAGCTTCACAAAAACTGGCATTACTCAAATGTAATTTACTTTCTACCATTCAAATTTTCTTTATACGTACTGGGATAAGGTTCACATATATGTGACTGCATATTACTGGTGACTCCCTCCCTCCCAAACTCACTTTTCCCAGCCTAACACACTTACGCCTCACAGCGGTAAAATTTTCATTCTATTTGTCTTATTACTACAGTTTTACAGAGAAAAGTAAAGTATACTTATCTTATGGGTCTATTTGCTGTACATATTGAAGCCTTTTTATTTCATATAGCCAACAGTAACAATAAAATACAAAATATTACTCAATAACCTGACTGCCTTTGATAATCACAATGTATTTGCAGTACTGTATAATATAATATTTTAATATTTTCTCCAGTACATTTCTATTAAACAAAACTAATGGTCTGTACAATGTAATAATATATTTGTTTAATGCAAGCTCATGAAGAAGTGAGGTAAGGAATTCCCAGCAATACATCATGTGTGTGTGAACCTTAGCCCTGTGTAAATGATATTTGGGAGGTAAAAAGTAAACCACATACTGTATGAGAAACTGTTTCTTGTAAAGCTGATATAAATAATGGCAACTTGATACCTATTTTGTAAGTCCAGCAACTGCAAATTTAAATATCTGCACAACAGAACAGAGCTGTGGGTTTTGAACATAGGACATGTTCATATTCTCTATTCACTGCAAATGCTAAGCTGAATCTACCTTAGCTGACTGAGGGCTGGCTCTTAATATCTCTCACCTTTTGTCAGGTGATCACAGAAAAGCTAGCAGCCTAAGTACCCTATAAGTGTTCTCTTTGTTCACAATGATTTGCTTTGTAACTGGCTCCTGACATGTCTTACCACCACCAGGCTGTATGAAAGAGTGGAGGCCATCATGGCGCACCTCTTAGTGTTAAGCCATTTGGTGAAGGCGGTGAGTGATGCCTCATGCATTCTTTGAGTTGTATAGGTACAGCACTGTTTATGAGACAGTGTACAGCTGTAAAGTTGGAGCTCTAATATGGTTATGTTGTCTTATATGAACCCTTTGTATTTTCTTTTGATATTCCTAGCTCACTGATGGAGTATTTGCCCCATAAACAAAGGGGCTTTGGTTAAACTCCTGGTTGGAATTGAGAACTGAGTATCTTCCCTGTGCACCAGCCCTTGCACTCTCAGGAGTCAGACAAAATGAGTACACCACTGGGTGCGCTTGTTGATGGTAAAGCAACTCTTGGTTAGACTGTCATCTTGCTGAGGGGGCGGAGTAACCAACTACCTGCTGAATGCTAAATATCGGAGTGATCAGCATCTGTCTGGCCACCCTGTATCATAGCACCTTGTATGCATGAAGAGAAAAAAATCCTTGATTATAATTTGAATTGTCATGAATATAAATACAGAGGTGTGACCAGACATTAGGAACAGTATTTTGCAGTACAGTACATGTATTAGTTAATAATACACAAGGTTGACCAAGAATTTAACATGGGCTGCATCAGTGAGGGCTAAACTCAGCATGGGTTGGCCAGAAAGTTCTTTCAGTCACTCAGTCAGGAAAAGTATTCAAAGGGCTGACTGACACAGCTAAGAATATATCCACAGGCACTCAGGGAGACGCAGGCAGCAGCTGTGCGTTATGAGCGTGCCATGAGCCAGCACGCTGCTGCACGGGAAATGGTGTTCCTGGCAGAAGAGGGACTGATGCAGAAAGGCTGTGTCTTCGACCACACCTGGCAGGAGATGCTCAATCATGCCACCTCCAAGGTGCAGTGATGTAGAGGGATGCTTCTAGCTGTTGCTTCTTTGATCTTGTTTTATGTTACCTTGTAGGTCCATATTTTTTCTTTTCATTATATTTTCAGAATATTGAAAGTGTACCGGTAAGCATATATGTGATGTTGTGATTTGAGTGATTGACAAATAAAATGATGGATATGTTGTTGTAATATAATGGTATGTATGAAGATGAGGGGTAAGTTGTAGAAACATGGGCATCTGGGGAGATTGGTTAGTGGAACAGTTATCAGAAACATTTGTTAGAATTTGAGAGTTGAATAAAATGTCAGTGTTTAGCTGTTTTTTTATTAATACAGATGGAAGTGTTGAAGATTTAAGTATTAAGTGCTAATACAAGATTCATTGTGTGCATTGCTATCCTTGGAAGAAAGGGATACTGTAAGTGGATATAGAGAATACTAAACACTACTGTATATACTATACTGTAGACGGGTAATTATTGTACAGTATAATTACAGTTGCATGATATGAAAATCTGGACGAGCTTTTTCGAAGAGTTCTGCGAGTTGTGTGTGAGATGTAATGCATTACTTAAGGAGAAACTGTTAATGGAAGGACTGACTGGTAGGATGGTGCTTTCAATCATCTTATATCTAACACTCATCACTTACAGCTCCTCTGTAGTTAATCCACCTCTCACCTGTACAGTACAGTACTTCCATGTTATCCTTAATATACAGTAATCCTTTTAGCGTCACCTACTCAGGAGTGGGTAAATGTATAAGTTAGCTGTACTGTACCACTTCAGTAACCCAGACCCATTACCTTGTGTACAGGTGAATGATGCTGAGCGTGAGAAAATAGAGAGTGCTGCTGAGCACCGGCGCACGTCAGCACTCTACCACGAGGCCGAGACCAGAGTCAAGGCTTTACAGAAGGAACTAAAGAGAGCCATCGCAAAGTCCAGGTAATAATTTGTTATTACTTTGCATGTAGTTGTTTATCATGATAAATATTTGTCAGATATTTTTACCTTCCTATCCTGAATAGAATTATGTAGTACAGTACTAAAGATTAAACATAGTGAAGTTCATAAAGTAAAAATAAATGTCTTGCATGTTTGTGTAGTTTAAAGGTGTTTGGCAGAACAGTACAGTAATAGTCAACTACTCTCAATTATAAAAGAGAAAAAAGCATTTTGTACACCACAGCAGACCTTGTAATGAATTTAAAACTGAAAAAAATTATTACCTACAGTGCTGAGCAACTTACCCCGACTCTCTCCTGAATGCTTCATGAGTAAACAGTATTGGATAACTCGTGTAACTTCACCTCCTTCCTTCACCTGTACTCACTCTCTTTCTTCAGAGATGTCAGGTTCTCTTGATTTTCCTTGAATTTACTCTTACCTCCCACCAACTTGTCAACAATTATACAGGTATGGTTGAAATGACGAAATGGGATGGCAGTGCAGCATTATTTTGTCCCCATTTTGTGGATCATAAGAGTGTAATTGTGTCGCTCTGTGTGGAGTGTGTGATAGTGTGGTGGTGTCTGTGGAGTGTGTGATAGTGTGGTGGTGTCTGTGGAGTGTGTGATAGTGTGGTGGTGTCTGTGGAGTGTGTGATAGTGTGGTGGTGTCTGTTGTGTCTTTGGGGGGGGGGGTTGTACAGTATAATGTTAGTTGTTGGTTTTACTGTTAGAGAGCATAAAGGTGTAATATTATGGATCATAGACTGTTTGTGGAGTGTATACTGTTATGGTGCTGTGTGTCTTTACTGGGTGCATAATGGTAATGGTATGACTGTTGGTCTTTGTCGAGTGAATAATGTTATGTCACTCTGCCTTTGTGGAGAAAATAATGTAGTGACAGTGTTTAATGGTGTGGGTAATTCAGTCAGTTAACCATTTTTGTGAGCATTGTATTGTCTTTCATATTTTTTAGGTTATTTCCCTTAGTTAACCAGACACAGAAGCTTATTGATTTTCTTGTGAAACGGTCTGAGGTCAAGGTCTCAGGCATATTGTGTGGTGCTTGCTGCCCTCTTGTTAGATATGGTAGGCCCTCTGGAGCAAAGCAAGTAACTTGGTCACTAATGATGGCAGAAGAGATGAAGTTTCCATTTGATATTGTCATAAAAAAGTAATAATGTATAAAGGTATTTGTAGATATCATAGTCATTCTTTTAATTTTGAAGCACCCGGTGGCTATATTGTCATCTAGTTTAAAGCTGAGCTGCCTGTTCCTCCAGTTATTTATGAGGAAAAAAGATTAAGGGTTTACAATTCATGTGTGTTAGTGTAAACAACCTTATATATATAGACAGACAATTTCTCAGTCTCATAAAGCATTAATCTCAACATTTAATATAAAAATGATTAGATGTAAAGTATTCAGATAATGGAAATGACCTTGTTACACAACACAAGTAGAGGCTTTGCATGAATTTTGTTTCTTTAATGTATTTTATATGTAAATTTGTCTGATGAAGTGTTTATATATGTACAGTACACTGTATTCCATTATTTGTCTTTTTATTAATTCATCGCACTCGTACATCTATCACACCTTACGTACAGTACAGTAGTTTAAAATGGGAAGTGTTTTTGATAGATTGTCTTGGCAGTAGATGATGGTAAAAGAAGTGCACATGATAAAGGAATCAAATAAGATAGAATCATTGGAAGCTGTGAAGAGTTTTTAACCTTAGGAGCTTTATCTATGGAGGAGACAGAGTTTAGAAAAGATAATGTGTTTTTAAATGTGTATAAAATTAAGCCAAGATCAAGTTATTACCAAGTAATGAAGCTCCAAGTTAATATTAATAATGTATAGCTACACCCTAGGTCATTCTCCTCTGTAGAGTTCACCACCATCTTGGCCTCACTCATATACAGTAACCCTTAAGTGGCAGCTGTAGGAATGACGGCCATCAGTGGATGTTTCATTTTCCTCGAGTTTCATTTTTATGTATAGTTTATGGGCTAGGGCAGGGGTACGGAATCCTTACCCAGCAGGTAAGGGTTACTGGTAATTCTTATGTGAAAAATTGATGGATGAATTTTTGGGTTGTTATATGTTCAAGAGTGGATGTACAGTATTCATGTTTATTTTATGTACGTACTGTATTCTATTCAAGACATGAATGTATTGTTTAAAAGTGGTTGCCGAGATGAGAGTGAAGGACTGAAGTCTTAATGTTTAGGTGTTCATGAGTATTTATTGTTCTCTCTCTTGATTAGACACAGAAGGTGCCAATACTGTACATGGTAGAAGAGATTATTTGATCATACTTACAGTAAGTTATCCTCCTCAAATGCGGAATCACTTATACTGTGCTGTATGTGCCAAAAAATGAGACCAATTGCCGAACACGGAAGATACGAGTCTAAGCTGTACAGTGAATGCTCGTCTATTTTCTAGAAGATCTGTCACACTCCCGCACCTTCCTCTTGCTTTGCATCTCATATCCACGCTCTCTCCCTCAGCCTCAGTTTCATTTAAGCTGCAGTTGCAATGAGAGCCGTCTTCTATGTTTGATTTATTATATTTTTAGTTCATATATAATACAGTGTAGGTAAGGTATTTTTTTCATTTATGGGTATAGTGTATAAAAAGATCTAGGTATCAATCAGAATTTACCCAGCCACATTCCCCTACCAAGCTCAGTAGGTTCACACTGCACCATCACAAACTAATCTTCACTTTATATTTTACAGTTTCCCATTCTCTGTAAAAGAATGATATGTCATCTTTACTGTCTCCTCAATTTGTGTTTTTTCTCCAACTTCATTTCATCCCTTTTTTTCTTGCTTTTGTGTGCTTGCCAGACCAGCCCTTATCTAATTTTTTTTTAACCAACTGCTGACTGCTTTCTTGTGTGATAACCAAACAAGGTTAACATATCTCCTGAGTGCTGGAAATTTTAGGACGACTTAAAGTTCGAGGTAGAATCTACAGTACACGAGGCTGTTCCCTGGACCAGGTATTACTCGAGGGAATGAAGCATCTGAGAAGAAAATAAGAAAAAATAATCAGGGTTTGTCAACATGTGCAAAATACCAGCCACCTGATGATATACGACTATAATGTGACTCTGGTTTTGGCTGGTCCTTGGTACAGTTTCCTGGAACATCAACCTCATTTGATCTGATAACTTAAAAATCACTTGGCCAACTTTTCTTTAGCTGACTTATTTGTTTAGCTCTCTGAGTATACATTGAATTGCCCCAAAAGTATCTGAACTCCTTGAGGGCAATGACTTAGTTCTGAAAGGCATAACGTAATCCATTGCCTTTAAATACATTGACTAAATCCATTGCCCTTAAATGCAGTGATATAATCCCTTGAATGCATTGTCTCATCTCTTAGAATACTATGACCAGTTCCCCCAGTAAGATGATATCATCATTATCTGATTTGTTTCTTCAATTTATTTTCTTTGACTTGCTTAATTATGTGTGGTTGCTTTGTTGTCAGTTGTTGTAATTAAGGCACTTGGGTAGTCCAATATGTCAAGATAACTACAGTAATTGATGCCTATACTGCCTGGTCATTAGCTTACAGAGTGTATCGTCAACCATCAGAGAATTCTGTAAGTTAAATCGCTGAGAGAGAGTGAAAGCGTGTGTCTGCCTGTCTTGTCTGTGTGTGTGAGAGTAGGTAAAAATCATGAACGTTTATTCCTTTTTGACTTCAAGCACAGTTATAACACATGGTCTCTATCTCTTATAATTTTTTATTGTTAATGAACTTGTACAATTACTAACTTTTGTACATGCTTAAAGACTTTAGATGTTTAAGATCAGTAATAACAGATATGCTGTGTGTGTGCTGAGATCCAGGAGACATAGTGCTGACTGTGTGTGTGTTTTATATTGGTTATAACTTCTTGTGTTTGTAAGCTAGAAGGAAGTTACTTTTGGGTAGGCAGCCTCTAGCTCATTAGAATACCCTTTAAATATTGATTATTTTTATGTTTAGATGTTTAGGTAGACAGTGTTTAATAGTTGAGTGGCTTGCCCTACTCCTGTCTTGAATGTTGTTGTACCACGTAGGTCCTGCCATCTCTGGTAATGAAACTGCCAGACCAACTTATGTCTTGATGTTGTTGTATGATTTTTTTATCAACTTTTAGTCAAAAATTTCATTAAAAGCTTTTTTCCCCTCCTTATGTAGGTGAGAACTTTCCTGCCTGCATCTTGACTGCTGTTTATTTTTTCACTTTTGTTTCTCTCCCAAGTTTGAATGCACGTCGCAGCCTGTTGCAAATGAATAACCTTGTGAGGATGCACCAGCTGCAGCTGCTGTAAGTAGCTCCTCACCAGCTGCTGCTGCAAGTAGGTCCTCAGTCAGCTAGCTACACTGGGGCCACACCCCAGGCTCAGACCCTCCATGTAATCAAAGTCACCTCATAACTAGTACATAGTATTTAAACTTGATTGCCATTTAAAAAGAACATTAAAGTGCAGTACAGTATTGCAATTGTAAATTGTAAAGTGTTGTTCAATTGGCTAAAGCCAGTCATACAAGATTGATATGTTGAATATAAGTTGACACATCCTGAGTCCATCTGAGACATTATGATCAGACAGAATTAAATATGAGGACCACTTAGTCAAGACCCAGTGTGTGTGGAAGACAGTGACCCACATTAACCAAAGTGTTAGCTGTGTTATATTTGTACACCGGTCAAAAATTTTTGTCAACTTAAATACATAATTAACACTGAGTAACCAAAGGCTTGGAGAGAACTAAGTCATCTGGTTAACATTGTCTCAGAAATGTGATTTATGAATATCAGTTGGAGGAACAGCCACAGTTTGGCCCTGGCTTAGCTGCTTTAGTGTTTTGTTATGTTAAAACCTTTCAAAAGATTGTGTGTGTTTTTTAAGTGGATATTTTGTTTTAATTCTATATTTGGCTGTCATATTTATTACCATATGTTAACTTGCTTGTAGATGACACCTTGCACTAGAGTTAGTGATCAATAACTGATCATTTCTGGGGTTCTAAGGGACACATTAATATTTCTGAAGCCAGTCTGTTCATGTGTGTGTGTGTGTAAAGATATTTATTATGTGTGTGGGTTTAAAAATCAAGTTCATGTCAACTTTTAGTCCCTGAAGTGACCCTTAAACATACATAACTTTCACATACATTTAAAGATAGGTTTATGGGTTCAGTGATAGCATGAAACTGATTTATTAGTCCATAGACACACTATATATGTCTTTATTGTGCCTCCTTTGGGCCTCTGAAATAACACCTAATTGTTCATTATTAGGAATGATTTTTTGTGAGTTTTTCCTTCGATAAATATGTACCTAAATTATAGTTGACCATGTTGGAGTGATCCTAAATACTTCTGCAGTGATCACGTTGTTCTTCAGCTTATGGGATAAACCTACAAGTTCAACCTGTTGCCTCCAAGCTTTCAAGACAGCTCCTGTCTCAGCTCTGTCTCCAAGCTTTATATAGCAAAATCCTTTTTTACCATAAACAGTTGCCAATATGTTATTTGTTGTTGCTCCCAATTTATGCTGTTAAAGGCTATTTATGTCTTATATCATTTAAGATTAAGAACTAAAATTCAATTTTTTATTAATTCATTTTAGACAGTATTTAAGCTCTCATTTTTGACAGTTGAAATGACAACATGATTGATCATTCAGACAGACTTCCTCTTTAATTACATTTTTGAAAATGTGTTGGTTATGACAAAACATCATCTAGAGATTGGGTTTGGATTAAACTGGTGTAAGAACCATATTGTATACAGTATACATGGGAACTCAGTACATCACTAGGCTGGGTACATTACAGTACTGTACTTGGTGCTCTACTGAAATAAGTACAGTATACTGGCATACAAGTAGACCAAGTATCTACCATATCATGCACATAACTTGTGCTCACTAGACCTCTCATCTATTGCTAGTGAACATTGCACCATACTGAGTCAGTCTTGTTCCACCCAAAATTTTTGTGTTGTGAAATATAGAAGATTTAAGCTAATGGCGAGATGTCTGACCAATTTAAGAACAATTATTTTATTGTGAGATTTTTTATATATTTTTTATATTGATAATTCTGAGAGCCCAAGAAGTGTTCAGTATCCTACCCAGAGAATCAGGTTGTTACCTTTAAAAATAACACAAGCAGTTGATCTCCTCTGTGACCCCATAGCTCAGTGATATCGCATTTTGGCAAGCAAAGGGTCCCAGTGTTAGAACCCAACTGGAATGGAGGATTGAGTTTCCTTCTTGTACTGTACAGTAGCCCTTGGGCACATGGCAGTAAAACAAGTGCACTATCAGGTCCATTCATCAGTGATGGAATTACCCTTGGCTCAGTTCCCCAAACTGATTTAAATGGGGATCTACAAATCTGTAGTATGTGCCCCAGCACCCTGTCTTTGCCAGTGAGGGCCCTCATGTAGAGATCTTTCATGCCTGGGAGCTCTCATTACATGGTTGAAAATGGCATAAAGGTTTTTCTGCATAAGGTGATTTAAGATAAGGTCTAGCAACAATTAATATTATTATGTTTAGAGAGTTGTACTGGGGCAGTTTATCCTCTCATTAAGTTATAGGGTCTTAGTGCTCAGGTGATCAGTTTTGTTAACACTAGTTCTTGACAATTTGATTACTGTATAGTACAGTATAGGGTTTTGTCAGAGTATGTCCTGATATCTAAATTAGAGCACCAGTACTTTTCAAATATTGAATATATCATGTAGTTATCATTAAGACTAAGAGTATGGTTACTGCTTACAGGCCATATTTTGAACTGAAGTCAGCAGTGAACCAGCAGCTCGAAGCCCAGAAACAACAGGTGCGACAGCTAGAGGAGAGCGTGGCCAGAGCTAAAGTGACTTATGCTCAGGCTCTCTCCAACCTGGAGACCATCTCTGATGAGATTCATCGGGTAAGTTGACTCTCACCACAAGTTGGGTCATTCAGAATTTGGTGAGAAAGACTCTATAGTAACCAAAGATGTTGAACTTAAGTCATTTATATTTTTTATGTTTATCTGTGTTGGTATTGAAGATCAAGTGTGTTGTATAGTAAAGCAAGGCAAGAAATTAAAGTTTGGATTTTGTCTTCTTCACAAGGTTGCCTGTATTCTTATTCAAGGTATGAATTAATAGTAAAAATTTTAATCCAATTGGATAATATTTAGTGATCATAAAAGTAATTTGCTTTGTCTTCACAAAAAATTTAATTACAGTATGATAAAATAAAAGTATAATTTTTACATGATCTTTAAATGTCTTCTGATACTTGGTATGCATGATGCTGTTGAACATGAGAACAGAGGCGGCCTTGTGGAGTAGGTATTTACATTTATCTTTTTTTCTCTCTCTCTCCCTGTATGGAGGATGGATGACCTTTCTATGCATCATCTCACACTGTTCATTATACTGTACACTTTTTTTTTTTTTTTTTTTTTTTTCTTCTTGGACATGCTTCAGTAGTGTTCAAAACATTTGTCGGTGAATTGTATGTGGTGGCTTGTCAGTCCCTCAAGTGGCCAAAGATGTTTTGTCCAGCTTATATTTTGAATATGAAAGACTGATGGTATACTCAGTGACTTAATGCAGCATAATGTGTGGTGGTAACTCTTCAAGTCAGATAAGGTATCACATGTCATGGCTGAGTGACCTTTTAAGGAAGATCCTTATAGAATAACCGTATGTGATGCACATGCTTCTCAGCACTGTACAGTATCTTGGGTTCAGTCCCCAGCCTGGGTGAGAAGTGAGGGTGTTATCTATTATGACCATAACAAACATTGCAAGTTTTCCCTGGGTATTCCAGTTTCTTCCTGTACTAGCACTGGAGAATGAATGTCATAACAGAATAACAATGACTGACTGCTCGAATTGCTAGAAGGCTGATAAGTGATAAGAGTAATTTACTTTTTTGAAATGGTCATTGCATGATTCTCATCAACCATTGTGAGTCATTTGGTAGCTCACACTCCATGCAACCAATAGAAAGCTTCACAACAGAAAACTGTCAGTTCTAACTTCTTTGGAGCAAGAGTTAGGAATTCATAAAAGCACCCACATATGAACTCTCTTTAGGTTAAGGCTAGACCAGCATTGGCTTGTGTTCAGATACATTTAAAAGCCTGTACTATACATGCCAAGTTCCTGCCAACGGTGAGAGTCCAAGGTGTAGAAACTGTGTAAATAATTAGAGCAAATTGAAACTTAATTAAGAGAATAATCCAAACCAACCTTTGGAGAAGTCTGTCTGCCTCCCACTAAGCTTGATGTTTCTCTCATTGTCTAAAAACAAGTTTATTCAAGGATTTTATGATTTAACAGGATTTCTCAGAGGAAATACTTTGCTACAAGTCTGTTAATGTTATACTTGAATGTCAAGCAGCTTTTGCTGGAAATCATAGCTGTGAGACAAGACCCCCCCCCAGGATGAGTTGAAAGTTGATCATCTCAGATTCATGGCAGCAGCAGATGAGCACTGACTGTGCAAGCCAGAATGTGCAGCAAATTAATCTTACAAGGTGCTGCAGTCCTGTCATTCCCTTTACTCTTGATAGCTGGGGATAACAAAGATCCCTTGCCAGTAAGAAGGAATGGCATATGTGTACTGGACAAATTGAGCCTCTTTATTGATATTATCACCACTGCTACTAAACAATACCCTACTAGTGCTACAAACACCAGTTGGTTTCCACCTTTCATCCTGGTCACAACCCATTCCACCTCTTTAACAGATGTGACAGCTCCACATTGTGATGGGTCAGTAATCACACCCTGTATACTAGTACAGTACCATTATAAAACAGTTTACTATAACATGAATATCAACTTGAAATAAAACCTGTATTATAAAGCAGATCTTGTATTACAGCAAGTACAGTTTCATGAGTAACAGATTGAGGCCAGAAAAAATGAACATTTATATATCTGTTCTGTATCATTACTCAAAGATCTTCTGATACAAGACACACTTTTAGGTGTTTACATATAACCTGCCCACTGTCAGCCGAGAGAACAACTTATTCAAAGCTTGTATGTGATAGTAAGAAAATGACTCCACCTGCCCAACACTCTACCTCACATTCCCTTCCTTTCTATTTAGCAACTGAACAAGATATTTTTTCTCCATACAAACAACAATTTTCCTGTGACTTGTATTTAAATATATTTAGAACAATAAAAAGTAAATTGATACAAATGTTTATTTACCGTCTTTGTATCTTGTTAACTGGCTCATAGGTTGTGAGACTGTCGACTAATGGAAAATATTTTATAAGTACAATTCCTGGAATAGATTAGTGTAATATGTAAATACTGTACAAAGAAATGTCCATGACAGTAGAAGCAGAGTTCCCCAAGACAACTGATCATCTATCACTATCCTTCCTCTTAACTTTCTTTTCTAAGAGAAGACAAGAGAGAATTAAGCCATTTGTTATTTTCCAGAATCGCCAATCTCAGCTAGACCTGGGAGTGCGGGGCATTGGGGTCGGGGCAGAATCTCCTTTACCTCCACTGCAAACTATAGACGGGGGGCTCCCTCTTGCTGCGCACCCCCTGCACTATGCTGAGTCAACACTAGAGGCCAATACTCAGGAGTTTAAATCTTTACCAGGAAAATTAGGACCTGTGGCAGCTCCCATTATGGCAACTGTGGTGAGATACTGGCATTTAGACTTGCTGTTCTTTTGGTAGATGCAATCTAAACACCAACAGTCTCTGCAGTTTGGCAAAAATTCCTAACTAATATAAATTGAAATATAAAATTGCATAATCTAAATTACTGGTAGCAGTTGGAATAATTAAACTGATAGTAACACATTGTTGAAGTTCTCTTGGAAATTTTAACAAGGAGTTGAATTGTTCTTCCATATAAGATAAGAAAGAAAGTTAGAGCTTAAAATCTTGATCTGTTAGTTGAATAGACCCATCAGGCAAATGTACTGAGAGGATTTTGTGTATCTCTCTCTATCTTGTTTCCTCCTCTACCACTGTCACATGGGGTGGATCAAGGGAAATAGAAACATTGAACTAAAGAGGAAAATAATGGGGAAAAGTGTGGAAAGCAGAACAGGGATGGGAACATTGATACAAGCTAAAGATATTTCAGCTATAGATATAATAACTTCCTGAGTGTTGCAAGACAATTGTGTTTTAAGGATGAGGAATAGTGAATAGTAAAAGGATAGACTTCGTATCTGGGACCCTTGGGACAAACACAAGACAGGTTTTGAGGATTTTGCAGTTTCCTTGGTCCTCGGTCACCCATCTGTTACCCTGGCCAGGCCTTTTAGTAGACTACGTCAAGTTTTGTATTCACTTACACTCTCACAAACTCGGTTGAATGTTTGGTCTACTTCTTAAATAAAAAAATATTGAAAATGTTGCATGAATGTTTTAAATAAGAAAATAATAAGTAAAATCAGTTCAGAAGTTGAGGGTTCCTAACAGTGAGTTAAATGGGTAAGTTGGTGTTCCAGAAGTTTCTAGTGAGTCAAAACATCAGTAATTGTTGTCTGATTGAATAAATAGCCTGATAACTTGATAATATTTATTTTACAGTAAAATACCAATTTTATAGAATAGGTCTTGGACCAAGCACATGCTCTTCAATTTATTTTTACCAAGAATCAGAACAAATAGAAGACTTAACACTCTTCCCAGGCTACATAGGTCTCTTCTGATCTGTGTGAGAAACAAGAAATGGACTGGTCTTATGAAATCCCAATTTATAGCTGGGGAGTGGACTAAGATGTGACCTTCCCCTTCACCCCCTGTACAGCCTTTGCTTAGTACAGAGAGATTGTGAATCATTAACTATAGTTGACTGGGAAGGTTTGAAGCATGAGATGGAAGTCACAAACCATTTTTTTTTCCTCTCGGTGATAAGTTACTGTACCGACTCAACAGTGTGATGAACTGAAAATTTCAACATCACCACTGTCGTGGTAATTAAAGGCCATCTAGCAAAGTAAGAACAACCTTATAAGTCATGTATTCATCCTCACTACCTCTAATAATGGAACTCACTGAACTCAATCCATTCTTTTTCATTTGAACTTATCAACTTCCACTCATTGTTGTATTTGTGTGTCTTTATGCCTGTCAGTGTTGCATTTTAGGAAATGTTGGTATGGTAATTGTTTTTTTTTTTGGTTTAAGCATAGCATGCACACACACACACACTCAATCAAGTTTAAATTGACAGCCAAATTTTGATGGCTACTGTTGTGGTGTATCCCCCACAATTATTTAAGAAGAACTGTATGTTTATATATCATCTTTGGACTGTCCCTTCACAGCAAACTGCAGCTGCTAAGGCATCTTCAACCAGCTACTCTGGTGCCTCTAGTCTACCAGCCACCATAGCCCCAATCACTACTAGTCTACCAGCCACCATAGCCCCAACCACTGCTAGTCTACTAGCCACCTTAGCCTCAACCACTGCTAGTCTACCAACCACCATAGCCCAAACCACTGCTACTACATCTTCTGTTGTTATGACTCACTTTGTTGATGGAGCTAGAGGCTCAGCTGTGAGTGCTGCACGTCAAGCAGAGGAGAACAGCATCATGGTGATGGATACAGCAGAGGACAGCAGCTTAGTGAGGGAGACACCAAAGGATAGCAGCTTGGTGATGGAGGCTGGGGATGTTGTAGTGGAGGAAGTGGATGGGGCAGCAACCAGCACAGACTTAACTGGCTGGCAGGTATGTATGTTGGGGCCTAGCACAACCCCTGGCATTTTATATAGTATATAAAAGGGAAAGTGGGTGAAAGGCAGAATATGAGACACTAATTAGAGGGGGAGATTAACAAGGAGAAGAGGTGAGCAGATTCATAAGAAAAACAGGAGGAATGGAAGATGGGAATGAAAGAGAACTGGAATGAGATATATATCCCAATTTGGCAAAAATGCGGTTGTTTCAAAGTCAAAAGAGCAATAGTGATCTACCCATTCAGTTATTGAGTTATATCATCTATTCCAGTGTTAACAAGGTATTTATGTGGGTATGATGCTTCATTCTTTAGGACAGTTTAGTTGTGCTTTATTATTTCTGTACTCTCATAACACAGGTTGTCGGCCTAGGCAGCCCTGCACTGTCACCAGCAACGCAATATCTCACGGTTGAGGACCGGGATTCCATTGTCTCTGACACAGAGAGTCTAGCCAGGTAATGACATGATAGGTGATGGTTACTTGTGCCACTATCAGCACTATCATGCAACGTATTTAGTTCTAATGTTTTGACAGTCTTATTGTGAGACTTTGAATGTATTTGGTCAAAATATTCATGATGATGCATATGTTTGTGTTCACCTCCAAACATAATTTTTTTGTCGTTATGAATCTCTATAACTTTATAGTCTTAGTACTATGGTTCTGTTTACTTTCACCAGAAATGCATTTTTCGTTCTAATCATAATCATGGCAATATAACACAAACAGTACTATTGGTTAATTAAATCCTGGTGCACACATATTGACATATACTGTATTATAGGTACTGTAGTTTGTTTTCTTGGAAGAAACTGCATTTCTCCCTCATAGTTTTATCTCAAGCATAACTAATGACAGTACATGTATTTCAGCATCGAAATGCTTAGTGATGAAGCTATTGCGGGATTAATGCTGGATGAAGAATTAGCCGAAGCTTCAAATTCCATATGCACCCCCCTCAGCACTCCTGTTCTTGATCCTCCTCTTCCCCTAACATCATCCATCCATTCATGGCCAACATTTTTACAAAACTATGTAAGTGCTTCACAACTCACATCAGAGACAACAACGTCAGACTCCAAAGCTGCACAGCAAGATCAGAGTGAAGAGCAGTGTTCTGGCATCACTCAGTCTTTAAGTGGATTAGAGTTAGACTCACTTCATCCTGGAATCAGACAGCTCCAGCCTCCCCACACACTGGCCCTCCATCGTGACTCTTCCTCCGACCAGTCGTCTCCAGAAGACCTCACGCCAGGTTATGCACCTCTGCGGGACACTCCCTACTCCCCAGAGGACTTTTTACCTTCCAGTCGAGACCACAGTGCCCAGCCTTCTGACGAGGCCTCCTCACCACTCAGTACCTCTATGAACGATGAAGTGAGGGATGAACCTCACCGTAGTTCTTGGGTTCTAGAAAATGTTCCACCAGCCCAAAAATAGGTCTTAAGAAACTCACTGAGGCTGATGGATTGAGCTGCTGGTATAGCCATACGTATATTATTATTAGACTAAGGCAAGTGAATATGTTTATTTGGGTGGTTGGTAAACAAAACAGTGAGCTGGTGATGTATATTTGGATTGGTATTAAGGTTTTTCTTGACATGAAGATATCATGTCATTAATTTTCAGAGTTCTGGTTGAAACTACAGTATACGTGTTTGTGCAGGATAACATCATATCCTTGTTAGCTTCACTGCAAAACAAAAGAGGAACCTTCAATAAGCAGCAGATCATATCATTAACCTATGCGTACTGTATGTATATCAAAATCACTGTTTAATAGTGATCAACATCTTCAACTCATCCAGTTAATACATTGTTACAAAGAAGATTGTCATGATCAACACAATAAGATGAAGTATTGACCCTGTGTGCAGTTGGACCTTTAATGAAGGTATTCATCTTGTAGATGTGAGTGTCCTTCAGTGTGACTATCCAGTTTACAGTTGGTCTCCTCCCAAGATAAAAATGTTTCTAAGCTTGAGGCATAATGGTTCATTCATGAAAATTGTATATTGATGCAGTAATTTATGCTGACTAGAACAATACAGCCTACATCTAAGAAATCTTTTTATAAAACTCACACATTTTAATTGAATAATTATGTCTTTCTCTCAGTTGCCTATGAATTCAATTTTTTATTAGAAATGTAGTACAGTGTGGTAAAATTGACAATTTTAATTTAATTCAAATTATGACACATGGATATTGCTTATGTATGAGGCTCAATTTAGTTATACTGTATTTTGATATAAAATATACAAAGAAATAGATGGTGTGTGTGTGTGTATGTTAGTAGGTATTCATTAATATGCTTGTGAGGCCTTGGGCTCAGTTCCCTGGTGGGTTGAAACATTGTGAAAGCTTTTACATTCAGGCCAATGGCCTGTATAGGATCCCTCCATTGATATTGGTAATCTTGTCAAGGGCTTTTTTGAAACCCAGTACTGTTCTCTATTCCACAACTTGAGCTGGTAGACTGTTCCATACACCTTCCTACCAACCTCTCTCTGAAGAACTATTTGCTTTGTTTGTTCTGCATGCTAACTTGGCAAGCTTGTAGTTATGTCTTCTCGTGTTTGTGGTACATGACTTCACAAGGAAATAGCCTGGGTTCACATTTTCTTAAGGCTCTCATTCTACTTGAATAATAGAGATGGCATAATTCTGGAATCATGTTGGTCGCTCTGCCAGATAGATAGATGCCCCAACTAATTTTTGCATATTTAGTACCGTACATGTAAGTCTTGTGTTTTATTGCAGCAAGCAACCTCTTCCTTATACAGTACAGTATACACGTACAGGTCAACTATTTCTTTGTCACGTTTTTCATATTAAGAGATGCATCTAATTTGAGCCTTGTAGGTATTCAGTAGACACATGTTATAACTGAACAAGATCCGTTAATACAAGTCAACAAGGAAGATGTTGTCTCATAATTCTAAAATGTCTTGTGTCTTTGTTTATCGTTTGTATTTTCATTAATTACAACACTATGATTGAGTGGAATTGATATGTACGTAAAAACTAAATCGAAAATCCAAATATAAAAACGAACTACAACATTCAACTGGTAAACATTCCTGAGTTGTTTGGGTCTCACTACCTGGTAAATATCTCTTATTAAGATGTACTGTGTGTGTTAAAACAGTATACTGTATGAGGCACTCGGGGGAACACTGACGAAGACACCAAAATAATGAGGTGATCGTAAAGTTTGTAACATATCCTTAAACTCGACTAATTTTCATATATTTGATGCCAGATTCATCATAATCATGTGGTGGGTTTATGGAGATATAGAACACAGAATTTGTTACGCCAACAGTGATAATCACAACAAATTATTTAGGCGTATTCTTCGCTGTTCCCCATTAGCACCTCTTGTTATCATGTTCAAATTTGTGGTGTTGATTAAGTTGGGTTGTGGCTGGCAACAGTACCAATCACTGCTGCACACACGAGGCCTGGGTGAACCATTACTGTACTATTTACATTTATAAAGAAAATCACTTCAACATTTACAGATATTTTCACCATTAGGAAAGATATGTTGCTAGTAGGTGCAGTTTAGTCATTATGGTAATATATTTGAAACTCATTTTATATACTGTACCAGTATCTTCATAACTACCCGGTAAATGCCGTCTTGTCAATATAGATGCAGCTGCTTGGCACACAAATTCCATTTGTCATGTAGAGATACTTAGATGTACTGTACTGTATTTGACATTCTAATAGTTTGAATGCTGTGCAATTTTTCATTGGATACATTGTTGTTTTATTGGAGTACTGTATAATAAATCTGCTGGCAGTTTGGGATGACGGGACATTCACTAGAACAATTGGTCAACCAACAATAATTTGGCTGCACGCTTACATTGTATGAATGATATACTGTATAGGAGTTTTTCAGTGTTAACATGCACAATTGTATTTACTGATATTTTTTTCTATTCTGCAAGAACTCTGTCACTGCCTTGTTATTTAGAATGAGAATTTTCAATCAGTTGAGAGAATTCTTAAATTTTTTCTTTAATTAATTTTGTCCCATATCTACACAATTTATATTGTTTTGGGGTATAATATTGTCAAGTGAGGTTCATGAGCAAGTCTGTTGTGTTCCTCTAACAGTCACAGCAGCTTAAACTACATTATACCCACACATCCATCAAGGTTAAGTGTAACCGTTAGGGCAGCTGAAACTGTTCCCATACCTAAAAGTATAGGGTTCAGTTTAGAGGACTTACACTTTAACAGAAAAGGGAACACCTATGAACTAGAACCCAAATGTTACACAACTGTAGAGTACAGTACAGGGTGCTTCCTACTTCTGGTTATACAGTAATGCACTCTGTGTCTGTCCTTTGTTTTACCTCTGGGAAATGTTCAAATAATATATTTGCACATGATCATTGCATTAGAAAATTTAATTGTTTGAGATGGACGAGTTAAAGTGATTGTATAATGTGAACTTCATTGTTGTAAGTCAGCATATGCAGTCCACGCTAAAAAATGAAATCATCTTCAACTTTTTACAACCATTCTCCACACATGCATTGGTTACCTGTATTCAGAAAGAAATAATGAAAGGTTTGCAATCAGGTTACAAACAAGGATAAGTTGTAAGGTTATATTATGATGGGTATCAAAGTTCACTCAATAGCATTAACCTTCCAGAGAAGAGATTATGGAGGTTATGTGGGAAACACTGGGGCCCAGTTATAGAATGAGGATGAGAGTGGGTATTAAAATTGTGAAGACAAGAATAGAATGGTTGAGGGAACAGTAGTTTATAACTAAAATAAAACAGTTTTATGGAGGAGAAAGGTAGAGTAAGACACGTAATAGAGACATGGGCATTGTGAGATAGGTAGGAAAGTGTTGTCAGATGTATAATGATTTATCTATTTTACAATATGGTGTGTAGACTGGCAGCAAGACTATAATAAATGTAGAAATCAGACAAGGGTTCTAGTACAGTACTGTACTGCAGTGCTTGTATGAACAGTGATCACTTTTACTGGCTATGAAAGCAAATAAAGGTCACCTGAGCCCACAGAGAACAGTTGGTATCATTCAGTCTGGTCTTTAGAGGCCTGATATTGTGCTGTTAGAATAGGTGGGTGTGATGGTGTTTATAAGGTAAACTTAAATGTGCACAATGGATGACACTTCATGATCTAACTCCAAAATCTTCTTTCAGCTCTAGATATCAATTTGCCATTATTTTTTTGGCTTTTATATTACCAAGAGTTCATTGCTAATATTAAGTTTTCAAAAGTATTGAAAGAAATATTTTGAGTGGGAACTGTTTGTGAGTGTAACAGCATCATGATTGTAAGACGAAACACATCAAATAACGTGTGTAATTTGTAAATAATTTACAAGTACAAATTGTGTGCATACATGACCTGATGTGTAAAACTACCTATATCGTGTGAAGTCAGTTGTCTATTACTTTTGAAATTATTGTATTATGCTGGTAGTTTGTGAAGGACTTTGATGTTTGTAAAAGGTAAACAGGTACAGTACTGCAATTGGATAATTCATACTCCTTCAAATTTTGGTTGAAAAAATGTTTTGAAAATATTCTGATCTCTTACCTATTTAATTATTGTTAATTATTCTGATAAGTTAACAAAAAAATGACAACCACAAGTATGGCAACCTACTTTAACATGGGTAATGAATAGTTGCAATGTTTCCAATATAGAGTACTGTACTGTACGGGTATATTAAATACATCCATCACTTGCATTACATATTATCACTACCATTCTGTACCATCATTGAAGATAACATCTCCAATTGCGAATCTATTCAGTGCACGAATATGTGCACTGATTTGAGCTGCAGATAGACTGAACCAAAATGTCTTCCAGCTTGTGGAGTCATGTTACATATGGACCTACTTATGGGAAGACATCATTGAATGGAATATGAAATATTTTATTCCAGGAGTATGACAGTGTACAGGATTCTAGGAGTGATGGGTTTAGTTGCAGGTTTTATTTTTTTTATAATGGTAGGTTGGCTGTACTGTATATGACCAAGGACTGGGTATAGTTGATTGACATGCTCAGTCCTTGACCATGCCTGACTTACAGCAGAAGCCCTGTTATTTACAAGCTATGTATTCATGGAGTGATTAATTATCATCAACAGTGAAAAAAATTTCAAAATCATTATTTTACTTGTGTCCTATTATGCAGACCTCATCTCTATAACTTTCACTGTGCAAGAAAAACTCACATTTCTATGACTGACCAGGTTGGATGTGCAAAGCTAATGTGATCAGTGTTGGACAGCATGTACTCTATAATATGCAGCTGGAGTGTGCGAGTCAAAAGAGAGATTGCTTTAACATTAGAAATAAAATTATATGTAGTGGGGTGTTTAAGCTTCAGGTGGGACAATGTTGGGAGCCCAATTTTCAGCCCCTCCTCCTAGACAAGTCTTCAATATTATCAACACAAGCACCAAACCAGCAACTGGCTGTTTGGAAATAATCCAGGCAAGATATACTGCTGCTACTCTTTCTTTTATACAAGCAGTGGTTTGGATGGGAGATCCATCATTCACAGTGAAGAATAGAGGTGAGATGCATTCTTTTGTATTTTGTGACTGTATAACTGTAATAACCTTGTTGTACATTGTGTGTTCTGATGCCAAAACTGGATTGGAGTCGCATCTTTAAGATCGATCACCTTGCCTCTGAAAATAGGCCAAGGCCCATGAAATCTTTACTTATGGTGAATCAGTGGTTTGGGTAGTAGACTAAGGGGAGGTGAGGTACAGTCCCCCCAAAAGTATCGTTATCCATGGGGTCGATGTGGTTTTGTGAGTAGTGTTAGTTCACTAGTTTAAGAACAGTTGGGACAATCAACTGCAGGTATCAATATACTGAACACCATTATTTACTACTTAACTATGTGGATCAAATTACAGTACAGTATCTGGTAAAACTGTTGTGCAGAGAACTGACCAATAATTTAAAATTTTATTCCTGGAGATATTTCATAAATATATGATGTTTTGTATATTTGAATACTGTTACTGATATGGGGAGCAGGTATACATGTATCAGCATACGTTGCTGCACTGGCAAATATATCAAAAGTATTTTGTTCAGCATTTCAAATTGTAAAGATAGAAAAACTAACAATACCTTTTGGAGGGACCATACCTTCCCTTACCTGAACCCAAACTTAACCAGTTTACCTGAAAATTAATAAAATAAATTTGTGGCCTCGAGCAAAAATCCTAAACCAAAACCTGAAAAACTGATCTGTAGACCTACACCGCTGGCACAAACAACCCTTCCATTTACCTCCTCTTATCCTATAATCCAGTACACATATCATGTCATTACTTTTAAAAAAAATGTGTTCATGCTCTATTTACTAATGTTTTCCTGTAATACATCCTGTTACAATTTCATATCACCTTTGTTTACCAGTCACTGCACATGCACACACCTGGGCATTAAGTTCCTGTCATGACTGAACAGACTTTTGACTGGCAAGAGAAAAATATGGCAGTTATTGCAGCGTTAATTTATTTTGGAGTTTTGATGATTTATAATAATGCCGATGTAATAAATTTTCCATCTTACCTACTGTTCAGGCCCGAGACAAGTCATAAATGTACTGTCCTCCAGTAAGAATAACACGGGTCCATGATTATATACAAGTGTAATTTATCTTTATTCTTAATAACTAGCATTCTGTAAAGCATTTCTCAATGTTTTATAGTGATAATTCCCAAGCAAAAAATTATTAGTTTAATTCATAGCCTAAAACAAAAATGAAATTAATGACATCAGGTACATCATACTGGCTGCACACTCATTACACCGTTTCTGTTTGGAAATTTAAAGTACTGTATTGCAGAAGTGGTGTTTAGCCATTTGTTATGTAGTAAATCAGTAACTTACTTCACCCTTGTGAAAGTGGATCCCACAGACCTGACGGCCAGTTAGAGGCAGTGCAAATGTGGCACAGTACTGAGCCTTCATTGCGACACTTGACTGATTTTCCCTTACTTAGTCACAGTTAAATGGCATTGCCCTGGGCATAAACCATCAACCCTCAGTATGGGAGGCAATCTATATCCACTCAGCTGCCACTCCCCATACAGTATTTCACCACTAAAGCACAAATATTATATAAAAAAAAAAAAAAAGTTTGTTTCATATATAGTGTACATACGTAAGCCATCAGCCATGGAGGATGACCTTGGTAGAACTTCAATATAATGGACTTCCTCTCATTGTGACCCCCAGTTGTGTCGGATTTTACTCGTCGGCATATCTAAAATAATGACTCCAATTTATACATTACAGTATTTTAATTCAGTATTACAGTTTTGGTACTTCAAATATGCCTAAGTATACTACTAAGAAATTAGCTTTCAGAAGCAGGTGCTGTCATGTTTTCTGAACTCAACATAAATATGTCATTACTGTACTAGCAATGTAATATTTGTATATGGCATTTAGCTATGCATATTAAATGTGCATTCACATGGTGCAATTAATAAGTACACAGCTTTCCCATATTGATAAATTTTGTAGGTTATTCTGGGTAAAGGAGAATACAAGTTGTAAATTTTGAAAACAAGGTTTATGCTGATACAGAAGTTGGTGCATATGTTGACAAAAGTTTTATACATCGACATTAATTTTTTTTTTAATATGTGTAAATAAGTTATCCTATGATCAATATTTGATCAGTATGAACTTAATTGGTGCATTTGTTAAATAAAGTGGCAATGTAGTTTGTGTATACAGTAGTACTGTACTGTATTGTATAATGGTCAGTACTTGATCAGTTCTCACTTAAAAATGGTGTTATACTTTAGCAGAAAGAATGCAACATTTAATAATTATTCCTGTATTTGTGACATTCAGGTCATGAATTGGGAAAATTATTGTTTACTTAAAACAAAAGATTAAATTTTCATTAGGGAAAGAATAACTTTATTGTGGGCTGTTCATACATGGAATGTACACCATCAGCTTTTTTGTTTATTTTTTATTTCATGTGCAAAGTTGACATTATCTCCTCTTCCACATTGTTGTCCAAGTTATCTGGACAGTGTACAGTATTTATCTTAAAAAATTAAATGAATCAACAGTGCTGATTGCTAAGTCTTGTGCCAGAGTATTATCTAATTTTGACTAAACTTGATTCTTCATTAAAATGACCTGGTACCTTATTACATGATCTTCGATAAGGAGACTGCAAACCATTTTTATTAGTTAATTAGCATTTCAGTAAGTATGCAAGCTATTTTTCTATGGTGCCCACATGCAAACAAATGATCTTTTTTGGTCATCATAGGTATTATTTGGTCATAAAGCAAGAGTTGATTCACCAACAGAACTCTGAATTATTCATAGGTTACTTACTCAAGTTTTCTATTCATACTTTTAACCTCATTTGCAGTTTAGAGTTTCTGTAATAAAACACGAGTGTGGATAGACAGAGGTTGGCAGTTTTGAGTAAGTAGATTAGGCTACAGGGTAAAGGGGTCATGCAAGCAGTTTAAATTGCCACTTGTTCAAGGTGGCAACTGGTGTGCAGTGTTCACCTGTGCCAATGTTACATGTACAAGCTTATACAATAAAAAAAATTTACAGATGTTGGGTTCACTTGTCAACCAATATTTTTTTACCACGAAGATGAATATCACATTATTGGAAATACAGTTGTACCCTGCTTAACGCGGTTTCTCATATACGCGGTGCCTCGCCAGAACCGAACTTTCACTTAACGCGGTTCATCTACTCATATACGCGGGAAGCGGCGTGGGCACGATGCGCACAAGGTCGCCCAGTCGTCAAAACATTACCAAGTTCCACAGCCGGTCCAAGTCAGTGATAATTATAGTGAGGATATGGACTTTGAGGGGTTTGACAAAGAGGCCCTGCAAGCCTGTGGTGGATAGTGATACAGGTGAGGGCCAATAATCTGCCCTCTGCCTCGGAACCAACCCCCCATCCCCAGCCATCTTTTCTACTAATGTAAGTGTTAAAAAACCTAATATTATTGATATTTCTCTTAATTATTAATTGTGTGCATACCATCATAAATTTAAGATAATATTTTTACTACAACATAGTTGTGTGTCATCAAAAAGTGGAGTTTGGGGGTCGGGCCAGTCTCTATTGGAATTAATCCCATATGTTGTTGTTCACTTAACGCGGTACCTTGTGGGTTCAATTGACTGCGTTAAGCGGGGTATAACTGTACTGTATTATTATTGTGGCAAGAAACATACGATACAATTTTCAACATTTTCTGCATCACAAATCCCAACTTTTTTTTATAATTTTCCCCTAATTTTACAAATAATTAGAAATGGGAACGAGCTTCAAATTTCCATCATTGTAGTCACTGAAGGAAATACAGAGAACTGGCATTACTCCAAAACACATGGACAGCCTACCTGTAGGTCTATCCTCAGAGTTACCATTTTTATATTAATCTTGTTATGGATCACTTTGGGTGATATCTATTTGTGGGTCCAGGTTCTATTTCACAAGATTCATAAGTCAAATTAAGTCCAATATTGTTTTGTTTAGAGGATAAAAAAAAAAATTTTGGAGTACCATTAAATTTATTTGTGTTCACTAAAGCTGTGGCAAATGTTCACACAGAAGTATGGCCACACTTTGTAAATTAATTTACAGCTTCAGCTTGGTCCTCCTCCAGTGGCGCCTCTTGGCATTGTACCTGCAAAAACAAGAAAACTAAACCAAACCATATAATTCACTTTTGCCTCTCACTCAACCACATACAAACTTCTTGTGTCAACAATTTAAGGAGCAGGAACAAATCAAATCTTTACACTTACCTAATTTTGTTACCAGTGCAATTCCGGATCCAGGGTGGAATGGGCCGGTTTTGCTTCATTTTCTTGGCCAGTTTGACCTTAATGCGGAAAGTCTTGTGGGCAGCCTGGAAGGAGAGACCATATTAGAATACAGTATAGTTGCTAAATTTCAGTAGTCAGTCCTTGTTTAATGTCAAAGTTCCATTCCTGAACTCTGCAAAATCACTTAAAACCAAAAAATCCCATAGGCTTAATGTAAGTTATACTGTATCATGCAAATTACATCTCCAGAAATTTTGGTTCAATTCTATAAACTCGTTCGAGTGCAGTGTTTAATTCTGAGTAACAGAGATGGTTAACACACGGAGTTTATAGAATTGAACCAAAATTTATGGAGATGCTATTTGGATGGTACTTAAATTTTAACATCAATGCACAGAACCTGACATATTAAGAAGGAACTGTATATCCAATAACAGATACAGTTGTTAATATGTTTATGGGTTTACGGCTGAAGCCTAGCTGTCCCAGCTGCATAAACTACCATAGGTCATTTGACGAGCAACAGCTTAATACAGTGCTTTATAATTTATCAGTGATAAGATAAACCAACATAACACATCTTTTCTAAAATAGCAGTACCTGTACAGTACATTATTTTAGGTTTGATAAATTATGGAGTGGTTGCTGGGATGAATGTTTGTCAAAAGAATAAGCTCCAGAAATGGCAGCAGTTGTAGATAGAAGCCTTACTTATCATAAATCACCTGCAGGGTATGAAGGGTGAGGGAAATTGCAGGGAAAAATATGGTTATAAAACACTCAAATGATGTGTCTGCATCCTTTGTATGTGAATAAATTAATTATATACTGTACTGTAAACTCCTCCTAAAAATCTGCAGTTAGCACATGTCATCTCCCAGTTTGTTTAAAACCAACCTGCTCAGTCTCAGTGTACTCACACATCAACAAAAAATTTAAAAATTACACTGATGCTTCAACAAAGTTGCATTCATTGGTACCAGACACAGTAAAAGGGGTATTATTTCACTTGGTTGCCACTAAACAAATCTTGTTAATTTTAAAGTTGCAATTCATAATTTTGACAATTCTAAGACCCTTTTCTTCAATGGCATTTCTGGTCCAAATATATTTAAGAGATATTTAACATTTTATTGTGCACGTTTGTATGTGGTGGTACACACTCGGAACATCGAACGACCGTGATGCTCACCAGTTAGGTTAGGTTAGATTCAAAACTTTTTCCAATGGTTTTCGATGTGTTTTGAACACTTTTTACCTTGATTTTTATAAAAATTCTTCAGATTCTGATATGGGGGGGGGATCTCAGAAACTATTGATTTGCACCATAAATGATGGCCAAATTCGTTCAAAACACATCAAAAACCACCGGTAAAACAGTTTCAACTTTGAATTCATATAGTGGCAACAAGTGAAAATTTACCAAATATTTAAGTACACATCCTTTCGTCAAATTTTACTGAAGCTATAATTATAAAAACTTAAAAAATAGGCAGTGGATATTTTGCGTGATTGGCTAAGTTCCTACTAACACAATTTTACAGAAAACTGTGAGGGCAAACTTTTTCGGAGTGGGAGTTGTGAACTCTTGGAACAATCTGCCAGAAAGTGTTGTGACAGCACCGAGTGTGAGCTCTTTCAAGACCAGACTTGACCAACACTGGAGCAGGTTCAGGTACATTCAGGAGCCGATACATGCCCAGTGCGTAACAGAGACGTGACCGATCGCCCAAGCAGCTAACGAGCTGATCAGTGGTGAAGAGGATAAAAGTAAAGTAAAAAAAAATAAATAAAAAAAAAAAGGCGATCTGACTGGCTAATCGTCCATTACCGGGGAACAACGCAATAATTATATTCGATCAGGACGCTGACGGTATTTGGCATTTATTTCGCAGAGTCAATCGTTGTGTAGCTGTTAACGTATTGGTATTATTGCACTTCCGCACAATATTTCTACCCATAATCTATTATCATATTCGAATAATACGTCTAATTTTAAGATAATTTTCTTCTATTACATTACCGTCGCAAATGTATAATAACGGAGATAGTGTATCCAAAATAATCTCTATTTTTTCCATTAATCTTCTGCCTTTATCGCCTACCTCACCTCCCACACTGCGTGTCTTTCATAAATCATCACGCGTTCCCGTACACGCCACGTGGCCAATCAAAAGCTTTTGTTAGGGGGGCAACCAATTAAAATTTGTGGCTTAATTTGCAGTATTTTTGGCCCAATCAAATTCGATTTTTATTTTGGGTCTGCGATGGGTGTCACTTCAATTATATGGGGCTGATTGCAAGTTTTTGGAGAGAAAAAAACGAAACTAGCATTTTTTTGGATCTCATGGTGTTCTCCCGACCTCAGTACAGTGTCCTAAGTGCAAGAACAAATGTAAATATTGTCAAGACCAACATATGTGGCATTGTGGTAACTCCAATGACGAACGAGAACCAGGTTCTTATAGTTTAATATTTGTTTTTTTTATTTGCTTTTTTGTCGGAAAACGCCCCACAAAAAAAAGGTAAATTTCCGATGCAAATGAAGGTCATATCCGGTCTAAACACGCAAAAATACATTAGAAAAACATAGTTTTCACTCTGTTGTGTGCACTTATGCAAATTTACCAACATATCTAACTATATTTCTGTTGAGCGTGGAAACTTATGATCGTAGAAAAGGCGACATTTACTAGTGCCTAATAGAACCGAACCTAACCAACCAATGAAAAGGGTGGACCCCCGTCATATTAAACAAAGTACTTAGCCAGTCAAGATCACACGCAGTAAAAGAGCTTTAGTAGGATCTTAGCCGGTAACGGCAAAATATCCACTACAAAAAAAATATATGGGGACCATTATATACTGTATGTCACATATTAACGAACCTTCACCTGCCTCCCATAAATATGTATTATGATTATCAGGAATGTTCACAATGGTTCAGCACAAATATACAATAAAGAGTATATTTAGAGTCGCTTTAACCACGAACGCTGTTAAAAGCTTCTGCTTCGCCTGCTAAACTTCTCATGAACAAGAGTTATGTTAACACGAATATAACAAGTAAACCCGCAAAAATTCGGCTGTACTAATACATAGCATAAAGAAGAATAGCTGAACTAACAATGACTAGAGAAACACCATAGCAACGATAAAACGTAAAATTCAGAGAGAAGTTTACCCTTGTTTACCTTCCACCATGCCAACCCAGGTGAAGGCATCCAGAGTTTTCCTCAAAATATCCACAAATTTTAAAGTACATTAATATATATCTACATTCTCGTGAGAGGAAATATATCTAGTAACACATGGAACTGAAATGTAACTGAAATACTACAATGATTAAAAGGATATTGCAAGATAAATTTTCAAGACTCACCATCGTGACTTGACGCTGCCACAACTTGACTGGGAAGACCCGTCGTTTACACCGCTGATAGTGTCTATGGCTGACGCCCACCAAATTTAAATCTGAAAACATTGTATATGGGAAGGAATTAGTTTGGGTAAGTGTGCCATCTTTTTATGAAGTATTATAACCAATATGCAACGAGTGTTTTCAACTTTAATGCATTATCTTCCCTGTGCATTTTACTAGAACTGCCAAAATGATTTCAATTGTGAAATCAGGTTGACGGAATCGGAAAATAAGGTAATTAATTAAAAATAAAATAACGTTTTTAGTCTAAAATATTGGTATCTTTAAAAGGATGCTGTCATAAGTCTGATTCAGTATTTTCTATTTCTTGCAGGTCATTTTATTGAAAGGCTGAAGTAGTATATGTGCTATGGCTACAAACTTAAGTGAAAATCAGGCAAGTAAGTTTAATGTAGGCTGAGTCACTTGTGTAGTATAGTGTAGGCTGAATCACTTGTGTAGTATAGTGCAGGCTGAGTCACTTGTGTAGTATAGTGTAAGCTGAGTCAATTGTGTAGTATAGTACAGGCTGAGTCACTTGTGTAATATAGTGCAGGCTGAATAACCTGTTGAAGAGAGCATAGGCTGGATCCAGGGGGATCCTTGGGTCCGGACCCCCTTTCACTAGAAAATTTCAATACTTTTTCTTCAATGCAGAAATTGTACTCGGGCATTTTTGTACAGTAAAAAGTATTTACTATTGACTTCAGAATATCTTCTATTATCAAGTGCACATGGATTCAAAATGGCTTCAAAATGCCCATGATACTGGTCAGATTTAAAAAAAAATGTCAGGGGGGTGGGATTGTAGGGTTATGAGATATTCCACTACAGGATCACTACGCTCGCCTGTTCCCCCCACCCACAACTTTTTGGTCCCCCCTTTTGATATTCCTGGATCCGCCCCTGCTTGTGTAAACTGAAATACTGGCAGTTCTTAAGTGTTAAAGAATCTGAACCTACACCATTAGTCAGCGAACTTGGTATATTTTTTATGCAAGAACAAAGTACGTTTTAATATGCAAAAGTTTACTTAATTAAAAAAAAGATTGTTGATACACCTAACAAAAAAGTACAGATATATAAATCACGTACAATATTAGTATCTATAATCGCTAGAGAATAAGTGAATGAATTTATATAGCTGAGCAGCATCAGATAATAAACACAGAATTATTACCTGAAATCAGAAACATTGAGAAAATAATGATTAATGAAACATGAACACCTCTTTTGATGGTGCTAATATTTGCCCTACAGTTATGGGTGGATAAGAACTGAAATTGAATAGGAAAGCAACATTTTTATTCAGTGGGTTAATTTAGCTGAACCACCACTGCTTTACTGAGCGTTCCAATGGGCTTCAAGCACTGATACTAGATTACTTGTGGAGTAAAGTGTCAGCTGTGTTTCTCCTGGAATATAGTGTAGGCTAATTAAGTCACCTGTTGAGGAAACTATAGCCTGGATCACTTGTATAGTAGAGAGCAGGTTGGAACATGGACCATATTATGGAATAGTGCCATCATATCTATACCACATAGCCCAATCAATTAGGACTAACTGGTGTCCTTATTGGGTTAGTAAGGGCCATCCCCACAGGACACCGGACCGGGGTACTGTTCTCTTCTTACACCCGACTCATCAAGCCGAGGACCGAACCCGAGTCGGTATGGTGAGAAGCCCGCGCTCTGCTCTTTAACACCTACACACCCCTGCAGGCTGGGCCACCGAGTAGTTGAGTGTAATCTGTCACTTGTGTGATAGAGTGCAGGTAGTCACTTGTACAGTAAAACTTACTTGTGTGTAATACTGTAATGTAGGCTGTGTCAAAATATTTTCCGAGCCTCTTGTGTTATGTGTAGGGGTGATTGATAATTATATGGTAGATAATTAAATGTGATAAAGTGTAGGGTACCCCGTGTATGGTAAAGTGAAAGCTGAATCATATGTGGAAGAATGCAAGTTGAAACGCGTGAGGTAGGATAAAGTTTGAGTCACGTGTGTGGTAGTGGTGCGCTGTAAACCATTTGACAGGTTTGAACTAGCCGCGTTGCACCATGTTAGAAGAGCTGAGGGAAGGCGTCTGCTCAGTTATAAACGCCACAACTGTAGGCTACGTGTTGGAGGGAAGCCACAAGAATCTTCTCAGGTGTTGATCTTTGTGGCTCTATTGGCGCTACCAAGTTCATTTGAACCTTTAAATACCAACACAGTTCAATTTATCTCTCACATATACTGGCGTTTATCGAGACAACGGGAGGCGCTTATAGTGGTAGCTAATATCGATCACATTCTGTCGAATTTTGAGGAGTTGCAGAGAGTGTAGTGAATAATGTCAGCCCGCGGGATAGCCAAGAAGAGGCAGAAGAATGTCAGCAAGTCCCAAAGAGCAAATGTCCTGTTTCCTGTGGGTCGTCTGCACAGATACATGAAGGCTGGCCCAGGCACACGCAAACTGAGGATAGGTGTTGGGGCGCCTGTCTATGCCGCCGCTGTCATAGAATACCTCACAGGTGCTTATTTTTGAACAATTTTCTATAGTTACTACCATTCCGCTGAGCTGTGATGTCATGGTCAATATATGGGTGAAAAAATGTTAATTTTAAGTGGGGCACACGCTGAGGAAGGATCATACATAACCTCACAAGTCCATAACTTAAATTATAAAAAAAATTTGTGTTTATCTTATATCACATTTGTTGATCTGTCAGTGTGTTAGTGTCAGAAAGTTGAGTTATGGTGCTACTGTCATTGTGAGAGAGAAGTAATCGTATTTTAAGTGGGTGTTGGAACCTGACAGGAAGAAATATTGTTGTGTTAATATTATTGCCTGTGTCAAACACCTAGTGGCAGACTATTTAGCCTTGGCATATATCATACAGCAATTAAAACTTGTGACTTTATCCTGGACAAATATTTTTTTTTTACTCTTGCACAAAAATAAGACATCATCCACTGTTGCCATGACAGTGTAAGTCACTCAGAAGCACCACTTACTACATTTGTCTGTTTATATTGCCATTTATGTTGAGCTGTGTACATACTGTGGAATAGAATCGAAGACTGACATTTCAGAGTTAAAATAGGAAAATTTTAAACACTGAATATGGGAAACTTAGCAAGTGTACAGGTAGAGCACAATATGGCATGACATTATTCATCTGTTTTTGGTAGTGAGCAAATTTATGTGTAAATTGGTGTCAGCAATACAGTATACAGTACACATGTTGGCTTCTGCTGTAGTCAGTTCATCACACGAATAAACCGCTGGAAAACAATGAATTGAAAATCTACAGTACACTATCTGTTTATAGTATTGTATGTAATTAACTTAATGATAATTTTAAGCAGATGCAAATGTAAATTTAATCGTGAAACAAACATTTGTAATGCTAACCCAACTTAAGTTTGATTTGAACTATGAATGTTGACCATGTAATTAAGGGTAAAGGATTAGGATAAAGTTGCCACTTTATTTTACTCTTCTTATGGGATTATATCTACGGTACGTAATATGTTTACAGTGCAAAGAAAAATTTAACTAAGAATAATCACGTTTTTTTTTTCTTAATCTCCACAAGAAGTGTTACTGCCTTGTAAACAATGCTTGCTGTAGAGTACTGTACTGTACAGCATATGCTACATCATTTATGGTGGCTGAAACTATACCCTTAACTTAATGATCTTAATATTATTTAGGTGGTTCATGTTGTCTACTACTATGAGTACAGGTACTGTAGTTGAGCACCACAGACTGTAGCTACAGGTATACAGTAGTGTTGTTACTGTGGTTGTGACCCATCCTGTGAGATTGAGAATAATGCAAAACAAAAATCATGATACAACTGTATATAAACAAAAAGTGAACTGGGGAGAGGTGGTTGAACACAAGTTTATATTACTCTACGGTACTGTGCAAGTAAATTTAGACTAGGACTGTTGTTGTAGTGGTTTGTCTTACATGAACAACAATCTGTTTGTCAAGGTGCCTGGGGTGGTAGAAAATTATGATGATGTAGTAACTTTGTCCCAAACTGAGAGATGGGGTTATGATGATGGCTTGAGGACCAGTGTACAGTACTGTGATTGGTGGTGTTAGAAGGAAGGAGAATTACCTTGTTAGATCCTTTCTACCTTTTTTGCTGAGTGGCAGTGATACTATATTTGTTTGTTGCCCTTCCCACATTCATGGCTTACCTTTCTTGCAGTGCCCCATGTTGACACTACTCTATTTATTATCTTAATTTGCCAGTTTGTCTGTGTGTATTTTGTTGAAGGGCACAAATCCTAATGAGACACACGGTGGAGGGTATTTGTACCTCCATACATTTTGTTTTATATACATGTACAGTACAGTCCTAAAAACACTTTAATTTTGGTATCCAGTTTTACTCCCTACTTTCTCATAGCACTTTGCACCCATGACTTTTAGTAATCATTGTGAGTACAGTACAATGCAGTATGTATGCTACATTCATATAGTTTATTCCTATTTCCTTTCAACCTTTGATGTAAAGTTTTATGTCTTGAATATGGAAATAGGAAGATAAGAATAATAATCAGCACAAATTTGAAATGCACTATTGATGTTAGTTGTGGCTCTTCCTGTTGCTTGGGTATATTTTCACATTTTCAGGAGGTTCTGTCACTTTCTGGGTTCCCAAATAGGAGACAGCACTTGTACTGATACATGCCAGGGCTTCCTACCACTTACCTTACTGAGTCGTCACACTTTTAGTGATTGACAAAGCATTATTGGTATTGTAGACTGGCTCTCAGTAGGTTACTTCTAGGAATCAGAGAGAAGGAAAGATAGTGTGCTATTCTAGGCATCATCATCCACATTCAGGTGAATTTTAATGCTCAGCTCTGTGGTGGTATTGGTAGGCTGGTCAGGTCTTTACTAGAGTTTTAGATACTTTTCCCACTTGTCATGTGTTCTCATAAACTCCTCAAACATTAGGTTGAATTTGTATTTCTCGTGTGTTTCAGCTGAAGTCCTCGAGTTAGCAGGAAATGCTGCGCGTGACAACAAGAAAACCCGCATCACACCAAGACACATTCTTCTTGCCATTGCCAATGATGAAGAGCTACACCAGGTAATATACAGTACAAGTTTATTGTGGATTAAGTTTGAAAATTAATGGAAGTTAATATACTAAGTAGTTTGTGAAATGTTGATTGTGATAGTTGAAAGAATTAATGGGAGATTTCAAAATGATCTCCCGTGATCTTTCATTTATGCTTAGTTCATGATGATGATGATCAAGCTCTGAGAGTGGGTGTCGGGGACCTGATGGTCCGTAGGTCGAGCCTGAGTTGAAAAAAAAAACAACTACAGTATATACTGTATAGGTGGGTAACCTCTCACTGTAAAAATGGGTACAGTATCGGGCCATAAAACTTGCTTCGAATTTGAGTGATAGCAACTGGGACACCCTGCCATCAGGCAGGCTGTGCTGATTATGTGGAACATTTACTTGTTTCGGGCAAGTGATTTTTTAAAATTTACTTGCTTGGGTATTTTTCTTACTTGCCCTGACAAATTTTTTAAGGAAATTTGTGAACCCATAAATTTTTTTTATGGGAAAAGTTTAATGAATACCTTAAAACATTCATATTTATTGTGTGTATCAATTCACAGATAACTTGTGTCTGTCCAAATGGTGTAAGGGGTGGTAACACTTCTCATATGTCACAACTCTTGTTACCTCACTTCACACCTGCAGGTTATAATCATCCTACTCCATCTACCACCCCTCACCCTATAATCTGGTGTCAGTGGCAGTAACTCTTGTCATGTGAAGTCATAACTCTGGTTACCTTACATTTACAGCCTCTAAGCTAGGTGGTACCTTTGAAATGTTGATGACTTAACACCGACTAACCAGAGGCGGCTTAATTTAGAGATAAATTACTTGCACCTGACATAAGTCACTAATGCTAGTACCTGTACACTAATGACAAGCAGCTCATTGACCTTGTCGGGGTGGGATGGGGTCACACAGCACCTGACAAATTCCCTCTAGGTTTTTCCCTCATAAAATATTAAGTTTGTCTGCTGGACGAATTGCCACAAAACAGTGATGAGGTCGAGGAGGTTGATGAGTGTTCCATCTTCCTTTACCACAGTGTACAGTTTGGTCTCTAGCCAGTGCACCTGCTAGAATGCCACAGTACACCCTCAATTATCTTCTCCAGCATCCTTCTCACCTCACATATCCATACCATTTCAGTGAATCTCTCTCTACCAATTTCACAATTTGCACCTGCCTTCTGTGCCATTTCTAATACCCATATACTTCACTTCTACTTACTTCCTTCATTCTTTCTAGTATGCCTAGATGCAGCCCTTAGGTAGCTCATCTCAGTGGCCTGAATTTTTGAGCATTTTCACCATTCAGAGTCAGTGTCACCTTGCTTCAAGTTAATGTAGGAAGTTGTATTGTCTCTGAGTTCCTATTTCACCCCCAAGCATACCCCTTGATGATACCATGTACGGTACTTTCCAATGACCTTCCTCCCATATATTGCTGTATCCTTTATTGCATTAGCCATTGTACCATTCTTACTCAGTATTACTCCCAGTTACACTGCTTGAAATTCTTAACTTCTTCCGGGATTACAAAGGTTGTATGTGTGCTTACAGAGGTATTTTGAATTAATTTGTCAATGCTATCGATGTTGAATGTAATGAAACTGGAAGGTGTGTGGGGAATGTTAGGGCAGATAATATGGTGGGTTAGGGTAGTGGACAGAACAAGACTTGAAGTGTGAGGAAGAAGTGTTGCTTAAGTTGTAGTTGATGAAGGATGGTGCAGTGAGTAGGATGTAGGAGGATTGAAAAGAAAATGGATTAATGATTTGGGTTAACAGAGCAAGATACAGTATTTTAGATAAGAATATTATCAGGCATCGAGAATCACTGTGACTGAATATTTTAATCATGTGTAATAGAACCATATTTATTTACCTGTTTGTCCACTCTTATACAATACGGTAGCATACAAAAAAATGTTCTTCAGTTTGTTTTTCTTCTCACAGTTACTACGGAACGTTACCATTGCCTCGGGAGGAGTCTTACCCAAGATCCATCCAGAGCTGCTGGCAAAAAAGAAAGGTGGAAAGTTTGTCACTGGGGGCAACACACCTGTTACTGTACCATACAAAAAACCCATCGCAACTAAACCACCTGCACATAAAAAGGTAAAATTTTAGTCTTCTCAGAAAATTGTTGACATTATGGGCTGTGATGAATGCTATTAACCCCTTCACTACAGGGACGCCACTTTTAATATTTTATGTGGCCAACACCAGACAATTTTACTCAGCACACAGGGGATCCCTTACACAAGGGGTTAGACTGACTTAATATCTTTAAATGTGCTTTTTTTTAATGCAGATGATTTTAATTGAGAAAAAAAACCTTTAATAAAACCTTAGCTATATCATGTAAGTTGTCTGGGTATAAAATTTTACGGACAGTTCAGTATTATCATACACATGAAATTTTTTGGTTGAAATAGGATGCAAAATTTAATAGATGATGTTTAGTATAAAATTTGAGAGATAGAGCATATAATTATCTGCTGTTAGTCAAATAAAATATTAAATGTGGCATCCCCAAAGTGAAGGGTTTAATGGCTTAATGTTATCCTTAATAATGTCCCTGTGGAGGATGATAATTCAACAGTTTTATAATAAACAGTTAAGGTCTTCTCTTCACATCAGTCTCCCAGTGTTCCTTAAGTCACTACTGTCACAGGATGTTGTTTCATTTACCTGTAAACTACAATGACTGTTATGTAAATACATCTTTAGCTTGTCTTTCTATCATATATTTATCCTTCCATTGCATCTAATCATTAGCATCATACTTAATGATTATTTTACTTTATATGTTTTTGCAATCTTTTTCTTGTTTGTTTTCTCATGGATGTTTTACCTCATCACCTTCTGTGGTAATGCTTTATCTTTGTGTTTTTTGTTGCTCACATAATACTGTTGTTGTATTGTTTGATTTTGATCTGCAGTACATTATTAATATTTGAAAACATTTCAACATTAATTATACTTATCGGTGTAAAGAGTTAGTAGAATTTTCTTTTCTTTTTAATTCGCAAAAGCAAAAAGGTATACATATTTGGGTCTTCAGATAAACAGCTTGCTAAGAGGGTGGGAATTTTTTCATCACCATCAGATGACAACAACCAAAATGAATGGGAACGTCAGTGGGGCAACTGCGGCGAGTAACACCACCACAACCATGGCCAATGCTATGTCACTGCCCAAGTCTCCAAACTCTGCCACTAACGTCACATCCGGTTTGTACTTTGCCTGAGAAGGTCTTTGGTTTTAAGCATAACATTTATGGTTCCCCAGAAATTCTATGGTTTATTGGCACCATTGTATTTAGGTTTTTCCTGACACATAAAATTTTGGTGTTTATTGAATGTTTTCAGAAACATTACTTTGTCTGCAAACATTGACCTTGAACCTAATATGCTATGTATCAATTTTATTTTTTATTATAGCTTTTAAGAACTGTTTTTTGCCCTCCATGCTTCACTGTTATCCTTTGTTTAGCGATAATTTTGTTTGAATGTTAGGTTTTTCAGGAACCAACCCTATCGTTAAGTGAGGGATACCTGTAGGGCCTAGTTGCTCACAGGCTTCAGAAAACATGAAATTTTATTACTGCATTTTTATGAACTAACAACTTTACCAACTCATGGAATTACATAAGGACTGTTGAAGATGACTTTCCTTCAGGGTGGGTAGTGTAAGAAAATGGAATCCAGTAGTCAAGTTGAAGTGACAGTGTGGAGGTGCTGGAGGAGTGGAATCTGTGTTGTGGCGTCAAGAATGAGAGGCGACACTAGTGTGGAGAATTACTGTAAAATACCCGTGAACAGACCAGTAGCCATCCCAGATATCTTCTCTGATCAGAAATTAGTTCAAAGGCAGAGGACGCTTGTGCCAAGAATAACACCACTCCACCATATGAACAAGTTGCATATGTGTCAGCGATGCAGTTTGGCCAAGAGAGAGGTGTTGAGAAAGAGGTGATCAAATGGGTTTTGAGGCTTATCTTTATGAGGTCAATTCCTATTGCCTTCAAAAGTATTCTCTTCTACATCATTAAAAATAAAATCAGTGAGAAGTTTGTTGTTTGGTTCAGCCATTTATGTCACCTAAACACACAAGGGCACTTATTTGTTCTCAGACTGTGCCACATATTAATGTTGCTGGATACAATTCACTGTTTTTACAATATCCTCTCCTGTTTTTGATTGGTTTAGGTTCAGCCTCACCACTGAAGCTGAGAGCAAAGGGGAAAGATATGGCCCCTGTACAGCTACCGTCCGGAACCTTTACCGTGCTCTCAGAGAAGAAGCTCTTCCTTGGACAGAAGGTATGGTTATTGCTCAACTGTGTAACATTAATTTGTCATTCATAATATTAGTTCTACCTGTACTCTTGAATACTAAGCACAATGCAGGTATGATATAGATGCTTATTCGGTAAAATTTATGTTTGAAGGCATTATGTATTAACTAGAATGTTTGTGGCAGTTGAAGGTTTTCTTCTCATCCCCAGTTGACAGTGGTACAGTCTGACATATCAACAGTGACAGCAGATGCTGTTGTTCATCCTACCAACTCCAATTTGGACTTCCTGGGACAGGTGGGACAAGCCTTGAGTAAAGCTGGCGGCAAGGAACTAGTGCAAGAAGTTAGAGACTTGGCCAACTGCAACGGAGCTTTACCGTCCTGTGATGGTGTGTGGTTGTCACTTTTATCATAGCATGACAATAATATCTTCATTTTCATAGATTTCAGAGTACCGTATAGTCTATAAATTTTTACTTATAGTGTATAAATGGTCTGATTTTTAGTGTTCATAGATACTGTGTTTGTTTTAATTGCTTTGAGCAAAATAAATGGAGGAAAATCTATCAAACTACAATAATAGAAAATACAAAGAAACAGTATTGTTTGCCCTCATAATGCAAACTGTACTCAAGATAAGTTCATTATACTGTAGTTGCTGAAATTCCAGATCATCCCTATGACCACAGATACATGCTTGACAGTGTACCATTTCCTTCACAGTGGCTGTCTGCAATGGGTGCAAACTTCCTGCCCGCTGGGTCATCCACGTTAATGGGCCAACTAATGGAGATGTAGATGCTTTTGACAAGTTGGAACGTTGTGTCAGGAACTGCCTGGTACTAGCAGATACCCGAAACCTCAAATCCTTGGCTCTCCCCTCCATTGGAAGTGGGGCGTAAGTGACCTTTTTTTTACAGAATGTGTATGTCTCTCTCTCCTGTGTGTGTCTCGCATTTTTTTTCTCAAATCCTTTACCATATTTTAGTACTTGATATTACTGACCAAAATTGTGAGTAAAAGAAAGTGTTGGAGAGTTAGGAGGTTAAATTTGAATAATGGCTGTGGATGCATAGTGACCATTAACCATTATGTGATGAAAGTAATGACAGTCTTAAGTACAGTAACACAGATATAATTATTTTGTGACTTATTCATTAGTGTAGATATAATCCACTTTTCAGCCTCAATCTGCTTTGGTTAGAGTTATATATTATTTAAAGTAGTTATTAAAATTTGATTCCTATTTTCTACCATTTGTTATTTATTTTTCCACTCTCGACAGGGCTGGATTCCCCAAACAACAAGCTGCACAAACCATCATCAAGTCCATTTGTAACTACTTTGTCAACGTCATGTCCTCATCCTTGAAACAGATCTATTTCGTCCTCTACGACATGGAAAGCATTGGGGCTTACACAGCAGAACTAGCAAAGTTGGATTCTAAGTGGTGAGAGTGTAACGAGTCATATCTCTTGACTGTGTACACCTTAACTATCTTCTTTTGCTTCACGTGTAGCTGTACCTAACCTGACCTGACCTGACCTATCCTAACATAATCCTTACTCAGTATAGAAAGATTAACTAGCCTATTGGTATTATATCAGTTACTGCACTATGTGGGCATTCTTGTGTGAGGTACTATGTGGCCATTCTTGTGTGGGGTGCCATGTGGCCATTCTTGTGTGAGGTGCCATGTGGGCATTCTTGTGTGAGGTACCATGTGGCCATTCTTGTGTGAGGCACCATGTGGGCATTCTTGTGTGAGGCATCATGTGGGCATTCTTGTGTGAGGCACCATGTGGCCATTCTTGTGTGAGGTACCATGTGGCCATTCTTGTGTGAGGCACCATGTGGGCATTCTTGTGTGAGGCACTATGTCGGGATTCTTCATTGCTTTAGGTTTTGGTGATTTCAGGTTTCATTTGTCATACAACTGTACAGTAGATGAAATATTGAATCCGTTTTGGTAATTACATTCTCTCGCGTTCACTCACTAACATCTCCAGTTAACACAGATTACATTATCAAAAAAATACCTACTTGACTGCTTGTGTACAGAGGCCATATATATTGTCCAAGTCGTAAAAGATTCACCAATAACACATTTTTTGGTCTATCAATGTCTGGTTTGGTTTAAGACCTGTGCTAACCTTTCATCCATGAGTAAAGACAAGAATAATTAAACCCTTGAAAATGTTTATAAATATTTTGTGGTGGTGGTACAGTATTACCATTATATTTGCTATTTGGTGTCTGTAATGTTATTTGACAATCATTACACACTAATACATGCCAGCTCCTCCTTCACCAGTACCCAAGAGTGTTAAGATTTTTTACAATAAACATAATTTCACATAGGTTGTCTTCAGTACTTTAGGTTTCAATAGTGTTTGGTGTATTCTACTGTGTGTCACGGCACTCTAGGTAAATCATGCATATTCTCCTGCTCTTCTAACACTACATGTCTTTTGCTTGAGTGTTCTTTAATATTATAGCTGAAAACCTCTCAGTAATTAGTGTAAGTATAAGAAAATTGTGGGTTATAAGTGTGTGTGTGTGTGTGAGCATGAAGACGCACTCAGGGGGCTGGGTATGTATATGTGTGTGAACATTTAAGTGAACACAAGAGGGACAAGATGATTGCAAATTTATTGAATGACAACTTCCCCCCCCAGCTAACATATTTGGTTGTTATTATTCCCTTTCAAACATCAGAGGCAGGATGTCTAGTCAATTTTCTCTTTAATTACTTACTCGTTAAGTAATCCTTTACTTTGGAAGTTGGAAGATTGTCGCAGTTGAACTCTAGAATTCTTCTGTATATGTCTAGCCAATTAAATTTCACCCCTGCTAACCTTTTAGAAACACAACAATTTCTTACTGTTCAGTTTGTATTGTGCAATTTTGTGTAACCATATCTTTTTATTATCTTCCAGATGTGCAAGTGTATGTCACTATGTGTATGGATTTTTTAAAAGCCTCAAAAGTTACAGTACAAGATAACTCTCCTGATGACAAAATCTACAGGACTTAAGCACAGCTCAAAATAGCCTCGGCATAATAACCGGACCGTCTACGTGGGACGGCACTTTTCTCCTGGCTGAGTTCATCAAATATTTATTACCAGAACCGTTGTGGAAAGTCATCATAGTTCAAAGGAGAGTTCTTAATGGTGGATTTTTAGTATCAGTCATTTCATGCACACCTTGTCAGTTCTTTCATAATCATATGATTTTTACCAGTGATTTTCTTTCAGTAACTAGTTGAAGGATGGCTTACCAGCCTCATATGTCAGTACCTGTGTAACACTAATTGGTTTTAATTTAAGTAAAATACAACAGAAATATGGCAATTAGTAGGGGCAGTTTTCAAAAGATAATACTGATCAAGTATGAATGTGTCATGTGATACAATACTAAAGTGAAGTGCAGAGGAGTAGTGAAGAGAAATGCACTCCAGAAGCTTTCATATATGTTAGTGGTGTTACTGCAGCACTGTACTGAACATGAGGCTTGCAGGGCATCAGGTGATAGCTCAAGTGGTAAAGCAGAGAGGTCCTTGAGTCTTTAAGATCATACTTGAATTTGTTATTGATATTAGATTTTTTTATTTGAATATGAGGAAGAAAGACTTGCGGTAGGTAATGCAACTGGTACATTATGTTGTTGGTGTCCTGGACTGAGGCTTGTGTTTTAATTGATATTGGATCAAGGATATAGTGTCGATAATTAGAGGGAGGAGAGAATTGGAGAGTTTCTTGTTGGCCACGTAGGTCCTGTTTTGTGAAGGAATTCGTACTTATATATACTTTATTATTTACATTGGTGCTCGTTGTTCCAAAAAAGAAGATACGTAGTTAAATTGATTTTGTGATAATTTGAGATCCAGCATGAGATTGCTATTGTTTGTTGTGGTTTTCCTGTGATTGGCATTTGAGGTGCTCCATTTGGAGGTGATATAAAGTATAGTTTATTAATTTGTGATTCTTTATTAGTCAAACTTTATGGAAGAAAGAATTGCGTGTTAGAAGGTTTATGAGTGGTATATGGGATACATGTTGACAGGTGATAAGACTAGTCTTGCATGTGAGGGGAGCGACCAGGATTCATTTCTGGACAGATTATATTATTAATGATTTATTAATGTATTTCATGAAGAGTTCACTACAAAGACTTTTACCCAGAATTTAATCCATCTCAGTTTAGTTATGAAATAGTTTTGTGTAACAGTACTTATTCAGTAGGATATTTTGTGGGTATATCATCAAGGATTTTATGTACCGGGAATTTTGGGTTCTAGATATTTCACTATTCAGAATTTTTGGAACAGTAGAAATCTTGACTAAGACCTTTAGTACCAGACTTATACAGTGTAGAATTTTGCATAAGAAAAACAAATGCAACCCAAAAATTTGCGTGATACATCAGGACTGCCGAGAATTTTGTGTATCACTACATGGGGTATCCAGAATTTTGTGTTACTTCACATGAAATACCCAGAATTTATTGTATCCAGAATTTTGTGTACCCCAATGCAGTATTGGTATCCCAGAATTTGGTGTACTGTACTGTACCTCATTACTGACTGCCCATCTTTTATAAACCAAGCCTTAAATCACTTTTGGGTGTCAATGTCTGGGGTTGAAAGCTGGTTAAATACTTATCTTAAGCTTTTATATTTACATGAAACATTGATAATGTGTCTCTGGGATAAAAAAAAATCACTGGGTTAGGGAGATGTGTTATATTTCCCCAACCCAGGTGAATTTTGTTATTATTGTATAGTGATAATGTTAAAAGTTCACAGTTGATGACACCAGTGATATTTTTTCCCATCGACACACTATTAATGTCCTGTACACACATAGGCTCAAAATAAAGCCGTGTGCCGCTGTTGAACCCCAGAATTTGACTCCTGAAAGTTTTATGTGATAATACTGTGGATGTTTGGTAATGTACACAATAAGACCATGATAATCCAAGGCTGTTTAAATCTCACTGCGAGACAGGTATGGGTATGTTCCAGGTTATGTAGGATTTTTTTATTTATTCTAGTACATAATATCTGAAATTGGGATGTATAGTAGTACACAAGAATGAAAAGAGAATTTTTCTGAAGGCATTAATATTGCAGCTAATCCTCTCCTTGCTGTGTATTCCAATAACAACACTTAACACTTACTTTTCTCGTTATATTGTGTACCTCAGTTTGACCGTGTGGTAAGGAAGAGGTTGATGCAGCTGTTCCACTCTTTATAATTAGGAATGATGTAAAGTTTGTTAAACCACTGATGAGGCAGCACAGCATCCCTGATTCTTGACAGTTACTCACTGTGTGGAGGAGACTTTCGCCTGGTACTATGATGTCTGCCTAGTGTTCTGCTCTAATGTTTTTCTGCAGTTCCTGTCTCTCTCATGCTGGTTTAAACTTCCTTATCAGTAGTAAGCTGTATTTTATAAGATATAATGTTGGTATTATTAGAGTAAAATCCACAACAATTTGAAGAATGTGCTACAGCCTAGCCATGCATATATGGTGAGTACATTTTATGAAGAGAAACTATTCATCCATGTATTTTGTTAGTTATAATATTCCAAAGACTTAACCCAGTTTGAACCATGTATCAGTGATATGATTGTTAACCAACTGTTTAATGACTATGCATCTCTTGTCAGTCATTTGTATTTGGCAGATGTGATCACAACTGATATAGTTCTCCCAAAATGTGAATATGCAACAAAAATATACGACTACATTGACGTGGAGTCAATAAGGAGTATAGGTTGTTATCTGGTGTGGTGTACATCTTCATGCAGGGATCCCATGATAAGCCTCACAGTTTTCATATTGTTTGTATAAAGCTCGCAGTGATAGATCTGATATGTTCACTTGCTCTCCTGTAATTTATGTTTTTTATTTTTTTATATTGCCCTAAGTTAAAAATTATATTTTATCACCCAAACTAATTCCATGTAGTTTTGAATCTGTTATCCCAAGTGCCCACCTGTTGTTGGCCAACGAGGGAATTGTGTTACGGTAGTCTTAACGTGAGGTTTGGACCCAAATTCTCAAAGGCTTCTACATAAATGTTTCTAGCTTGTGGTGTAAAAGATCATCTAACTGTCTCACTTAAGGTATAACACAAAAGTCAGTATTATACCAAAAATGGTGAGATTCAGATGCCCTTTTTTCCAGTATCTGGGGAAGATATTAATGTTCACATCATTGAGAATCTGATTCCTGGCTTCACCCCCAAGGACACAATGATATTTATGATATTGTTTTGAGTCATTATCATCAACTTTTGTGGCCATTTTCCACGCTTTTTTGGGACAGCCATGACTGCCTCTGCATGCTGATGGGGATGATGATGTTTTACTTTAATATTGGACTTATTCTCTTGATTTCTTGTCCAGTAATTAATAATTTTGGAGCTTGTATCAGTGAGTTGACCCAAGTAAATGAAAATATTCAAGTTTATTGTTATTTTAGAGTATAATGTTTTGAGATCAAGTGGCATGTCAGTGTATAAGACCGTCTGTTATCGTGCAAACATTACCACAAATAGTTTCATTTCTTGTTTTGCTTTGTCTTCATTTTATTGTTGATTTTCCTTATATTCTGATTTATAATTTATATGTGATTGTTAATAGAAGAGTCTTTATTTGTAGACTTTTTGTAATTATAATTTTTATCAAGAGCTTGTGATACAGATTGTGATTTTGAGCTAGTGTCAGGGCAGGTGGACAAGTAGTGAGCCACATAGATGTATTGATTGACGTTCCATTTTTTGTATTGGTGGTTAAGTGAGTCGTCTTAACTTGAGATTCAAACTGAATTATCAAGTCAGCCTACCCAGACAATTACTTATTGCAGATCAATACAGTGATATCAGTGGCAGTTGAAAGACAAGTCTTATGGAAACCTTGTGTGATAGTGTCATTTTCTATATAGTATATTGTAAATAACAAGAAGTGTAAAGAAAAGAAGCATTGTTACGGAGTGTGTTTGTGATATAGAGACACTACACAGGACAGGACATGTGGACAAGATGATGAACTGTATACAGTACTGTACCTCAGTTTCTTAAAGAAAATGGGGTGTGTTATATCTTAATATGGAATTGAGAAGTTGAGTGTTAGCTTCAGGTCCTTCCAAGATTGTGTAGTCAAATGCCAACCAACTCATCCAAGGAATATTGTCAAGTTGACTACAAATGCTAAGGATGTGAAAAGACTTTGTTGTATGAAGTGCATGTTTTGATGATAGAGCACTACAGTATATGAATGTTGTGAGAAAGTGATGGTGCCTTTCCTATGTGAGCAAATGTATCTTGTTACTACCAGGGATAATGTGAAAATATTTTAGTTGGTGAGATGTTCACAGATGTAAAAAAAAAAAAAATCTACAGTGCATACTCTTTGCATTTTGACCTACTGTAATATCCTAAAAAATTATTTAGGTTTCTCCTTTTATGGCCACTAATCTTTCCATGAATTTGAAATCTATTTTCTTTTGACAGTCAGGTCCCTGACTTTCTGTATAGATTTTCAATGGAATTGTACAAGCTGTTGACTGATAAGTTGTGTAGAAAACTAGTGCCATGTGGTATATTAAAAAATAAAGAACCACAAAATATGTGGTGATTATCAAAAATGTTACTTGCATTTTTTTGGACATTTGTCACAGTGATGAGCAGTTTTGGTACAAACGCACTTTTTCAGTAACAGGAGGCATGAACTATATATTACTGTTACCACACTATACATTGCCAGAGTTCTTGAAAAACACAGTTGCTAAAATTTAGTTGTTTTTCTTCTTTTATTTGTATATTTTTTAAATACTGTACAGTTTAAGTACAGTAATTATGAGCCTTCAGATGTAATTTACACAACTTGGTTAACTATAACACCAGAATATTAGTGTTGTACAGTATTGCTTTTTTTTCCCTTCTACTTGCAATTCTTATCCCCAGGTGCAGAACCTTGTTATCGAATGGTAGTTGAGATAGACTTGTTACAGCAGGGTTGTGTGTGTAGGGTGGTACTTTGGGGAGATTGCTATTACAGTACTTTTGTTGTATCATCCGGAGAATCAGAATCGGAAATTTGGGTGACACATTTTATAGATGTATTTCTTTTTAGTATCTTTAAAATGGTAATTGACATGATCCTACAAAGAGTATATATGACAGTAAATTTAAAGTGGATTGCATGCCATCACATTAATTGCATCAACTCTATTTCTTGTTTGTAGCGAGAGAGGTGAGGAGATTTAAGTAAATACTTTTAGTTTCTATTCTAAATATTTGCATGTTTATTTCTCTCTCACACACACACACACACACACACACTCACGATTTTCGTTAGTGAGACCAGTCAGAAATATGTAGTGTGAGTTCTCCTGTTGGTGTGTGGCAGCTTGTCTAATGATGTACTCTTGTAGCAGCAACAAATTTGATAAATTCAATGATTTTTACAACAGTTTAATTTATGAAACTTAGTGCAAGTTTTCCAACACATTGGTTATAGAATTTCATTTTTATACAAGGTTACCGTACTTGCATTTTCATGAAGTAACCAGTTTACTCTTGACAAAAGTAAACATTTTACTTGTATTTCAATGGGAAATATAGATTTTCTCATTACATTAGATTTCTTTTTATTGTGTTTGGAGTTTCTTCACAGAGTTGTGCACAAACAGATACAAGTTTGTTACACCAAAGCAAGATAGATATAAGTGTGAAACTGATGGTGAATTGAAATTTTCTGTACTAGAGGTGAGAGTTGTATGTACCTTGATATAGACCACACTAGCTGTACTGTATTATGTACCCAGTACTGTATGTAAATATTCCTTTTGCTGTTTGAAACTTTAGGCCCATAGAGGTTTTAGAATAAAACTTGATGCTCATGTCATTGTGAGGGTAATATTATTTTGTTAAAATACCATTTTTAATAGTCTAGTGACTTTGGTCTGCGTTATGTTATTCCAAACATTTTGATAGAAATATTTTTTTTTAATTTCACTTAGTCACTGTAGGAGCAGATGAAATTATGTATATTATGTATTAACTTGAAAGTTCAGGAGATATATTATATATTGAAATTTTTAAGATTCATGTAATAAACAAAGAGTTGGAAGGTTATGTTTTCCTAACCTTTCAGTCACAAAAACTCTTCTCTGAGTGTTATTTAAGCAGTTTTGTGTACTCCTAATGCTTACACCAGTGATGGTGTCAAGACCACAGACCATTCACTATTTTAGCTTCATGGATCACTTGAGAGAATGGTTTGTCAGGACCCAGTGTGAGATCCTTTAAACCCTGACTTCACCAACACTGTTACATGTTAAGGTACATTCAAGAGACCATACATAGCCAGTACGACCAACCCTCTAGTGAGATGACAAGAGGACAGGTAAGTAAATAATGTATTCTGGGTTTGTGCTTCTAAAACATATACTGTACCTGTTCTCATGGCTAATGACGTTACTACACATTCCCAGGACGAGTGGCGCTACTACATATATCATACAGTACTTGGGATTAGTGGCACTACTGCTTACATTAGTGCTAGTTGTGCAACTAATTCTCTAGGTTAGTGGTGCTTCTGCTTATATTAATGTTAGCTGTGCTGCTAATAATTATCAATGGCTAGTAGCAATATTAGATAAGCTTAGGGATTGTGCTGTTATTATATAAACTCAAGCTAGTGTTTGGTACTACAGGCAGTTATTACCAGGGCTAATGTCCCTACTGTATTTTCGTCTTCCCCAATGTTGGTCTTTCCTCTAAAAGGTTAACACTGGGTGGCATGGCCAACATAATGCTTTCAAGTACTGTACTTTGCACACTATGACTCACATATGCCACACACATATATATACTGGCAAACATCCACACATTACTCGGAGATTGGAGATCCTTGGTCATTTTACTTGAAGATTAAAAACCCTAATGCTACTTGGGGAGTTATAGGTTAGATGAACATTAGAGTGATAAATCGTCAGGTTAAATAATTAGTGTGTTTAATCTAAATTAAATTCATGATGTTTGTGAATCTAACCTCCCTCCTCCAGCTACTTTACTTTTCGTCGGCTACCTGTCCTCAATACCTCCCGTAACACCTTCAACAACCAGGAGAGGATTTTTTATACTTTACATTTTTTTTCGCATAAAACTTATTATAGTGTTGTATTTTTACTTTGTTTTAGTTGTCAACATTATTTAAGCGATCAAGAGGTTTAATTCGGAATTTGAAGCTACGCAATGTATATTTGATGTGACCGACTGCCCAAGCGGCTAACGAGCCGATCAGTAAAGAGAATAAGGGTAAAAAAGAACTCTGTGTGTGTGTGTTTGTTTTATGCTATCCACTGACATAAGACTTTTCTATTTTCAAATTAACACGACAAAAGTAGTTTTCCTTGGTTAGAATGGAAACAAATTAAATTAACAATTACTGGCAAGAATTTTATTAGCGACCATTTATTGTTAGGGTAAATATGATACGCCTACGTGGATCAATAGATATTATACAGATAAAAAATATATTGACGAAAAATAATAAATGTGAATAAAATGTGTATATAGACCGCTGATAACTTCAAGTCTGGAAATTCTATGAACATATATAGTCCATAACAATGGAAGGAACACCAGCTGCTAGAAGAAAGAAACTGTTCATATCATTGACTTAGGCTTAATTGAACATATATCGAACATTTGGTAAATATATTGATGGTGGATTGTAGTAGATGGTTTAATGGATAGGGTTATCCATTGATAAACAAGATGTGTCTATCACATAGCAATATATGTGAACAAAAATGACATAGGAGTAGAAAATCAGTTTGAGTCTGGCGCCAAAAGTTCGCCCTCGAACGTAACCGGAAATCCAAGATGGCGTCTTTGTTGTGATTGCTCTCACCAGGCGAACTTACTTGCTCCTCTTTTCCTGTGCCAATCCTCACCCGGAGGAGCCACCTAGTGACCCCAGGGCTCAGGGCCTGCCTTAAGGTGTAGCTAGTGTGTCCACTGAAGGGTGTAGGAGGGTGTAGTGACGACTTTGGGAACAGGAGGAAGGTGTGGGCAAAGGGGAACCCTTTTGGTGGCAGTGTTGGGTTGTGAGGGCGTCAAGGTTGTGGTGGAGGCTGCCAGTGTGGTGGTGGAGGGTGGTAATAGTGGCTGCTGTGGTGGTGGTGGTGGGAGCTATCACTCAGGAAGGTGATGAAGGTGATCCCAGTAGGGAGCGGGGGCAGCCTCGCCCCATACCTGCAGCAGCCCGCCCTTCTTCAGCCCTCAGCCCTCCACGTCCTCGGACACTTTTGAGGATCTGCTGCAGGTGAGTGAACCTCTCTTGTATTGTTAATATCTATGTTTTGTACTGTGTATGTTTTGTACTGTGTATGTTTTGTACTGTGTATGTTTTGTACTGTGTATGTTTTGTACTGTGTATGTTTTGTACTGTGTATGTTTTGTTCTGTGTATATTTTGTACTGTGTATATTTTGTTCTGTGTATGTTTTGTACTGTGTATGTTTTGTACTGTGTATGTTTTGTACTGTGTATGTTTTGTACTGTGTATATTTTGTTCTGTGTATGTTTTGTACTGTGTATGTTTTGTACTGTGTATGTTTTGTACTGTGTATGTTTTGTTCTGTGTATGTTTTGTACTGTGTATGTTTTGTTCTGTGTATGTTTTGTTCTGTGTATGTTTTGTTCTGTGTATGTTTTGTACTGTGTATGTTTTGTACTGTGTATATTTTGTTCTGTGTATGTTTTGTACTGTGTATGTTTTGTACTGTGTATGTTTTGTACTGTGTATGTTTTGTACTGTGTATGTTTTGTACTGTGTATATTTTGTTCTGTGTATGTTTTGTACTGTGTATGTTTTGTACTGTGTATGTTTTGTACTGTGTATGTTTTGTACTGTGTATATTTTGTTCTGTGTATGTTTTGTACTGTGTATGTTTTGTACTGTGTATATTTTGTTCTGTGTATGTTTTTTACTGTGTATGTTTTGTACTGTGTATGTTTTGTACTGTGTATGTTTTGTACTGTGTATGTTTTGTTCTGTGTATGTTTTGTACTGTGTATGTTTTGTACTGTGTATGTTTTGTTCTGTGTATGTTTTGTACTGTGTATGTTTTGTACTGTGTATGTTTTGTACTGTATGTTTTGTACTGTGTATGTTTTGTAGTTTTTTTGATGCACCGTTGTTGACAGGAGGTGAAATAAATCTTGAGGCATAGGAAGGGAAAGATTAGCCTTGGAATTTATTCTATTGATGTTGTGGACAGAATTGTAAATCCTGAAGTGAAGCATGGAAACAATTGATAAATTAAAACCATCTCAAAACTTTTTCTGGTTTTAACATAAATGAACCTGTAAGGACTGGTATACTGTATAGATAGTTGTGTTGTAGTTAAGTCTGGCAAAAATCAGGTTTAGTTCTGTGATGGTTTTGTTTTAATCTCTTAGATATACATTAGCACACAAGGTCATGGCCTACTTGCCACTTTAAAGTACTGTAAATTCAATGTAACTGTTCCCATGCTTCTACAGTACAGTATTTGAGTTCTACACTGTATGTATTAAAACAAACATTTAAATTAAAGCAATGAAACAAAAATCATTATCAAGAATGAATAAGTAAATTTTGAAATTACAAAGTATTGTAAAATTATTAGTTAGGCAGAGTAAGAGACATTTGGTCGGTTAGTTTTGTCTCATTGTTAATGGTGGGTACAGAATTTTTACTATATTCATTAGTTTGACACACAACCCAGCTTCACTGGCTGAAGAAAGGTAGTCCAACACAGTATATACCACAGCCAAGGTTTACCAGTTGGGTTCACACAGTTCAACACAGTCCAGGCTCACTCACTGAAGATGGCAGAGTAGTCCCATAGTTACAAAGCCCAATTCACATGCTGGACAGAGGGTAGTCATGGGAAGCTTAACACAACCCAGATTCAATAAGTTTGATATTGGACTTATATTATGGGGCAATCCCACACTGCCTTCCACGGTACAGATCTTCAGTTATATACATTGTAGCTTTACTAGCTAGATTCACAGCGGTCCAACACAGCTTTAAGTCTTCACACCGTTGCACAACTGAGTTTCACATAATGTTCCATCCTGTACAGTACATATTGAAAGGTTCTAATAAACAATATCATGGTAGGATGTAATATAAACTACCATTGTCTAATGATTTTATATTTTTTATTTACAGAATGATGTTATGATGGGTGATCGAGTGGTAGACATCAATGTTGCTACCGTGGAGGACTTGGAGTTCTTGGTGGGTGTTGGCCGAGCTAAGGCTGAGGCCATTGTCACCACCCGTAATGTGAGTTAAATATTACTGTATGTGGTGCTGTATATAAAAGGTAGGGCATCTTCATGTTATGTATGATAAATAATTCAAGTTATTAATTTTTGGAGAGAAGTGCTGCTATCGGGTTGCCTTTCCCTGCTCTCTTAAAGAAATTTAAATTTATCTCTTGAAGTTTCATTATTCAATAAGATGTGTTTCTAATGTAGACCAAACAAAAGCAGGACTGCCATAAAATATTAAATTTAACAGTTGATGACTTTGTTCCATGAGTGGTTTATGACTGATTCATCATGTACAGAACATTGACTAAACCCATGAATGAAACGTTTTGAGAGAAAGTTGTGAAGCTTAGTGGCTCACTCCCAATAGTATTCAGAGTATTCAGTATTTAGATTATCTTGACCTCATTCCTTAGTTTTAAGAGTACAGTTCTGTACAGCTTTTGTCATCATATATAGATGCTTAGTATTATTCCTTACTAGATAATGTTTTTACTTCATGAATGAAGGAGTTTTAATTTTTTTAGCATTCTAAATTGAGTTGCTACAGTTTGTGTAGCAGCCTGTGTCTTCATGTGTCAGTGGTTAGTTATATGCTCTAAAGGGCTTCAGCTGGAAGTAATATATTTTATCATATTTGTGTCAACAGTCAATGATAGACTTCAGGAGCGTAGAGGACCTTCTTCTTGTCCCAGGGATTGGTCGGAGTCTAATAGAGCAGAACCGTGGGCTGCTGGTGTGCAGCACCCAGGGTGGAGCTCCCATCACCAGACACTCGGCTCCTCGTCGCAGCCTCAGGCGCACTTCCCATGACACTAGACAGAGAGGAGAGAGTGGTAAGCCAGAGGAGACTTCCCTCGAGGCGCAGGGAGATACAACCAACTGTGCCTCAAGTCAGGCTGTGAAACCTACCCGAATATATCTAAGGGACCAGAGTCACTCTGCTGCCGTGGATCAGCTGCGCGCTGCAGAACATTCTAGTGCTACCCGTAGTGCTCAGTGCAAAAGTGACGTACGTCCTAAAGAGGAAATTAGAAAAGAATGTAGTGAGGAAAGAAGGGAAGATGAAAGTGACAAGAAGAAAGAGGTTTCTCTTAGTATCCCAGAGGGAGACACTAGTGACTGTTGTGAGTGTCGCATTGAAGATGAGGAAGAAGAGGAGGAGGAGGAGGACGAAGGTGAAGTTACCGTAGACGTCGTGCCAGTGATGGAGAACAATGATGAAGGGGAGGAACATGCCGATATTGTGAAGGAGTACATCATGAGCAATGATGACCTTGTGAACACTGCACCCGAGGTAAAGGTTAGCACTGGGGACGTTTACCATAGTGGAGGCGGCAGAAATGAGCGTAGTTGTAATGGTGGCTTGGTCGGTGGAGGACTGGGGACGGATACACCCCACGAGGACGCTCCACTTGATCTGCCTTTGGACATTCAGGCTCTGGCCTCCCACCAGTTGACAGATGAAGAATCTTCTGAGGAGGAAGAGGTGGATGGGGGTGATGAAGAGGAAGAGGAGGAAGAAGATGAAGAAGAGGGTCACATGGAGGAGGGTGGCGTGGAATACGACAGTGATGACTGCATGACGGTTGATCCTCCGACTTCTCCCTACGCTGACAAAAAACAGGTAAGCACTTTTAGCACATGTCATCACTACTGTACATTGTATTTCTTTGCCTGTGCTGCCTTTCATGGTTAGACTAGCTCCAGGTAATATACTGTACTCATAAACCATCCACTGTACATTACTTCCTATTTTCAATTTCGCAAGTCATGTGTGAGTATGAAGCAGAATGTTATCTGCTCCAAACTCATATAATGGTCTAGCCAGTCAGTTTGTGTATGATCAGGTTGAGGGTTCACCTGCAGGCACCTTTGGGTCTTTTTAACTCTAGACTTACTTTGCTAGCTTGGGTATTTATATATGAGCTATGTTTATTATAATACATGAAACTATGTTCTGTAATATTTGATAGAATTAGTGTTTATGTCTTCAGCTAAATTTCACTGACACAATACAAGTAACTTGTGTCCAGAATTGGCCATTTTAGTGTCAGTTCCAGTCGAAAAATTAAAAGTGGTCTATGTTGTTTATATACAGTACCTGAAATATGGTAGGTTCTCAGCACATGTTTATATACTGTATGCCAATTTCTTACAAAATACTGGTACTGTACTGTACTGTACTGTATTCTCAAGTTGTCACTCTGCATTAATGTGTAGGTCAGTCCGTGCCAAAATAATCAAGAACATTTGATAATATCCAAACTTGTTCAGCTATAAAAACCTTCCAGACTTGATCTTTTTTCACCTCTCTCTCTCCCCCCTGAGATATTATATTGTACCAGGTCATCACAGTAATTTACTGAACAGTTGTCTTGGAAGCTTTACAAACAAGACCTCACTTGCAGATGTTAGATCACAGTATATATTTATCTACTGTAGAGAAATAAATCAAACTGTTGTGGTGGAAAGGATCCAGGAAATCTATCTACATCAATATATATTGTACAATATACAGTACTGTATATTCATTCATTTCAGATAAAAAGAAAATCTGAAGTGTGCTCGGATTCAAAAGGAGTTTGTCCAGTGAAAAAGTCCTGTAAAGCTGTTGAGCACGGGTGAGTAAATGAGGGATCCAGTTACATGATTTGACTTAACCTAACCAATCATAACTTAGTTTATTCTTAACTTAACCTAACCTAATCATAATCAACCCATATTTACCTAATTTTACCCACCCACCCTAACAAATCTACCCTACCTTACCCTAACAAATCTACCCTACCTTACCCTAACCTACTCTACCCTACCTTACCCTAACCTACTCTACCCTACCTTACCCTAACCCACTCTACCCTACCCTAACCAACTAAATTCAACTTGCCCTTTGTATTCGTCATAATTTATAACCAAGATTCTATTTATAAGTTTAATTAATTCCTGATGTGCTATCTATATACTTATGTAATGTGATGAATGCATAATGTGTCTTGGTGTTCAATTGAAATGTTGATGATCTACCAGAGTACAACTTCATTTACCAGTGATCAGTGACTGGTCTGCAAGAATTTGTTAAGATGAATTTATTAACCATTAAAACAGTGTGTAGACCAAGACAGCTCACAAGATATTTATTTTATTTTATTTTATTTATTTTATTTTACTTTATTTTATGAGTCACCTGACGAGTTACCCCCTTCCCCAGCTTAACCATCCATGAACCAATGTAGGTCTGGACTACATCACACACACACACACACACTGTTATCATTTTTTTTCTGAGAATATCCCACCCAAGCACAGGTCATTGACCCACATCGGGGCCTACAGTAGGGGGCAAAAAAATAAGAATAAAAAGAAATTAAAAATAGAGAAGGAAAAGGTTATTTTAATCTACACCACGAAGATGCTGGAAAACCAGCTTTTTAAAGTGAGACATTGTATGAGTGTGGAAATACAGAAGAAGTCAGAGCATTTCACAGTTTGGCTGTGTGAGGAAAGAAGGATGTACTATAATGGGTTATTCTAGAGTCTGTAAATCCTAGAGTTGTTGTCTTATTTCTTTTTTTATAGATCTATTTTATTTTGGGGGGGGTGGGGGGTAATATGTTGTCTAAGAATATTTTTTAGATCTATAGGTGTAATTGAATTAGTTTTATAATACTGTACTGTATTTTTTCCTTCCTTCTTATAGTGGGGAAACCAGTCGAAGAAAAGTTTGTGGTCTGGCAGCTCACAAGGTGTCACCACCACCGGCAGGACTCAAGTCTTGGTTGGCCAAGTATCAGTCCTGGTCACCTGCACAGAAGCGTCATGCTCTAGATTCGTTAATAGATGTCTGTGATCTGAACGAAGTAAGTGTTGTTTACCTCTGTACCTTTAGCATTATACTAAAGTAGATCCTGAGGGCTGACTGAAGTAGATCCTGAGGGCTGACTGAAGTAGATCCTGGGGGCTGACTGGAGTAGATCCTGAGGGCTGACTGAAGTAGATCCTGAGGGCTGACTGAAGTAGATCCTGGGGGCTGACTGGAGTAGATCCTGGGGCTGACTGAAATAGATCCTGAGGGCTGACTGAAGTAGATCCTGGGGGCTGACTGGAGAGATCCTGGGGGCTGACTGAGTAGATCCTGAGGGCTGACTGAAGTAGATCCTGAGGGCTGACTGAAGTAGACCCTGGAGGCTGATTGAAGTAGATCCTGGGGCTGACTGAAATAGATCCTGGGGCTGACTGAAGTAGATCCTGACTGAGGGCTGACTGGAGTAGATCCTGGGGCTGGCTGAAGTAGATCCTGGGGCTGACTGAGTAGATCCTGGGGGCTGACTGGAGTAGATCCTGGGGGCTGACTAGATCCTGACTGAGTAGATCCTGGGGCTGACTGTCCTGTGGGCTGACTGGAATAGATCCTGGGGCTGACTGAAGTAGATCCTGAGGGCTGACTGAAATAGATCCTGGGGGCTGACTGAAATAGATTCTGGGGCTGACTGGAGTAGATCTGGGGGCTGACTGGAGAGATCTTGGGGGCTGACTGAAATAGATCCTGGGGGCTTAATGGAGTAGGTCCTGGGGGCTGACTGAAATAGATCCTGGGGGCTGACTGGAGTAGATCCTGGGGGCTGACCGGAGTAGATCCTGGGGGCTGACTGGAGTAGATCTTGGTCTGCTTCTGAAGCTGGGATGTTTTCAGATGTCCTGTGTCAGCACCTCACCATCTTCCAATGTTATGAAAATATATATAAATAAATTGTTGTAATTCTAGGGTTTTCATCCATAAACCAATGCAATGATTTTTTTGGTCTTCATGCCTTTGAAAATGATTAAATCAGGGTTGACCTGTACAGTATTTAATTACAACTATCATTAATATATGATTGACTGACTTTTGCTTTGATTTTTTTTTCAACAGGTACGCCATCTTCACCAAATTATACTGCCCCAATTTCAGCGGGATTTCATTTCCTTATTGCCAAAGGAATTAGCTCTCTATGTCCTAAGTTTCCTTCCCCCGAAGGATCTCTTAAGAGCAGCTCAGACCTGCAAGTACTGGAACATTCTGGCTGCAGATAATCTCCTCTGGAGAGAAAAGTGTCGTGAAGCTGGCATTGACGACCACATGATCGTTATGGATCGCAGACGGAGGAAAGGCACCAGCGTTAGTCATATGTCTCCATTTAAGGTTTGTGATATGTGTTTTGCATATTGTACTCTGTGGCACCGAGAAGCTATCTTTTAGGCAATTTATCCGTACAACAGACCCTTGATATAACATGATTCAATACGTGGTACACAAAACTACTCTTTATGTGGTGTGTCTAGAAAGATTAAATTGCTTTGAGCAAAAAGAGAAAGGAAGATAAAATAGACACTGGAGAAAATACTATGGTCGTCTAAGTGAGGAATTTGTAGAGGCAGTTGGTGGCTCTTAAGAAATTGAATAATGGAATGGAGTCAAGGGGTAATAGAGTGAATTTGTAATAAGTAAAAGATAATGATGATAGCATAATTGAGAATTAAGAAGTGTAAGAATATTAAGTTTTAATATTTTCCTTAGCAGTATCTTAATATTTCTTCATTATTATGTTTGATTATTGTATAAACTGGTCCTTGGGGGTAACACCACTAGCTTCAAATTATTTATTAGTTTGTACTTTCCAGGCTGACTGCTACTATGTATATACGTGTAATATAAAGTATGACCAACACTCCTCTTCCTCTTAATGATAATAATTATGATAATGATGATGAGCTTTGAACACACAACAGGAGTAATGGGGTTATAGTTTTGGTTGTATTTATGGGATAAAGTTGTGATTATTATGGTTGACAGTTGTAGGTAACTAGAATTAAGTTCTACATATATTTGTTTTTATACATTTATATACAAGAGATGGTATACTTGTAGAAGGGGCAGCTGTGTGCAAGCTTGGTCTCTCACTCTAGTTCACCCTGATATTCATGCCAGAAATAGATAATAGTTATGGATATGTAACACAGGTGAATCATACCAATTTCTTATAAAATGTGTTCTAATAAATTTCGAGTGATATTTATGTACCAGTACAGTATATAATTGAAATAAGCTGATATGTGTGTTAAGTGACTCCTGGATGAATGTTAGACACTGAATATGCCTCAATCTTAATTTTACCCCCATTTTTTTCAGGCGGCATTTATGCGTCAGCATCGGATAGAAATGAACTGGCGGGCAACTCCTCTACGGCAACCACGGGTTCTCAAGGGTCATGATGACCACGTCATAACTTGCCTTCAGTTCTCTGGTAACACTATAGTATCAGGGTCTGATGACAACACACTTAAAGTTTGGAATGCCACTTCAGGCAAGGTGAGTCATTACTTGAGTCCACTTGTGTATCCTTTATGGAACCAATACTTCAATCAAGACTTCATTTTGATTCACAAAGCAACACAAAAGATCAGGAGTATCTTGCTAAAGATAATTTTCTGGTTGGACTAACTATGATTATACAAGGAACTTGTTTAATATCCTGCTGGTTCACCCATCGATTAAACTGTACTGACCTGATGACTCAGGTGTGGATAGTGTAAAGCAGTGTACATAATCTAGCTATTAATTATAAAAATAGTTTTAGCCAGTAACTAAACTAAACAGGTTGCTTAACCTTTCGATGCACTATACAGAACTTAAACTTTAACTTTTGATTCCCCTATACAGTACACTGACTACCTGTAGTGTACTGGTGGTTGAGGAACAGTCAGCCAGTATTTGGAGTGTGGTTGTTTGTTGTTTTCTTTAGATGCATGTTATTATTACAGTGCATGAGGACCTTGACGGGGCACACCGGAGGGGTCTGGTCATCACAGATGTCTGGTAACCTGATAGTAAGTGGCAGCACGGATCGTATGTTGCGGGTGTGGAATGCTGAAACTGGGGAGTGTCGCCACACGTTATATGGACACACTTCAACAGTCCGATGTCTCCACCTTCATGGCAATAAGTATGCATGACTCTCCTAACTACTTGAGGAGAATTTTTTGTGAACATATTTACCTCTCCAACATACCTACCCGCTAAGTGTTTGCTACCCTCATCTACTTCAACACACTACTTTATCTAATGGTCATCTTCCTAACTTTATCATCCCATAAACATCCATTTTGCCAAGTCTCCATATGCAATTTCACTGTTCATAGGAAATATCTCTCCAATTTGTATGGTGTCTTGTCATTGGCACACAACACCTTAACTGTTTGGTTATCTGTTTTGATTCATCACCAGCATGGACTACCTCCTCCTCTCTTCCCCAGAATTCTGCTACTCTATTAAAAGTTCCTCTGAACCTCTATTAAATTATTCCTTCCCACATCCTCTCCCTCACACCCAAACAAAGTCAACACACTAAACTCATTAACTGCCAAAGCATCCCATTCTCTTTCACAAAATTGAGGAGACAAATTGGATTCTTTATGTCAGAAATAAATATGTACCTCACTTGTCTTTTGTAGAGTTGTCAGTGGGTCACGAGACGCTACACTACGAGTTTGGGATGTCGATTCGGGGGCGTGCGAACATGTACTGGTTGGACACGTGGCAGCTGTACGATGTGTGCAGTACAATGGTCGCCTTGTGGTATCTGGGGCTTACGATTATATGGTTAAAGTATGGAATGCTGACCGAGAAGAGTGCTTACACACTCTTCAAGGGCACACCAATAGAGTGTACTCTTTACAGGTAATTCTCACAGTTTAAGATAAAGTAATTTTGTAAGTTACTGTTGAGGAAGATGCATAAAAAGGGAATATGTATCAGCTACATAAAATTGCTAGATAAATATGTAAATTTGTCTTAACATCTTGATTTACTATCCAGAGTGTTGACATTGTAGAACTTGAAGCATTTATTTGTGGTTGCTTCTATAGTTTGACGGCATCCACGTCGTGAGTGGGTCCCTGGACACAAGCATCAGAGTATGGGACGTTGAGACAGGTCAGTGCCGCCACACGCTAATGGGTCACCAGAGTCTAACGTCGGGTATGGAACTCAAGAACAATATTCTCATATCTGGTAATGCTGACTCCACTGTTAAGGTGTGGGACATTGTTACTGGACAGTGTTTACAAACACTCTCAGGTCAGTACCTCCTAAATATTGTATTCACTGTACATTCAGTTCTGGTGCAGTAACTTATCTTAAGTTACAGTCAAGAAAGTGATTTGCTTTACGATGTGAGGGACAGTTACTTTGTTCAAGTTTTGTCATCCTTATTAGTGAGAAATAAAATAAAATACTGGTAAATTTTCTTTATGTATTAGATTAGTTACCTGCTACCAGTACTTACCAGACCACCCTCTACCATAGCAGGAAAAAGCATGTAAACAGGAAATGAATTAAAATTGAAATAATGTAGTCACAACAATATCAAAAGATTAAAAGTTTTTTCTTTCTTTCATAATCTTCTTTACATTTATTATATTGCCGTTGATAAAGGATTCTGGAGGAAGTTGGAGTACAAAATTGACTATGATACGTCTTAGAATTGGGTTAGGTAAGATTAGCCTATTCTGTACAAGGTTTGGTTACAATAGGATACATTAGCTAAAGAGGGTAGAAAACAAGTACTGGGTAGATGAATGTTACAATGGAGAAGCTTTAAAATGGAAATATGGGCTAGAGTAAAAGAAGTATTGAGAGTGTAAAATATTACTGGATGTTAAAGTTACAAGGAAGCAGAATTGTAGAGTTTTTGGTTAAAGAGTAAAGTGTAATGTGAGTACTGTAATTGTAATAAAGCGTAGAGGTAATAATTGCAAGAATGAGTGTAACAATAAAGTGGAGTAAAGATGAAACATAAATATGGAAGGCTTCTGCACGGAACACGTTAAGATGTGTGAAACTTGAGGTGGAAAAGATTGGGTAAGAGAAATGGAGGTAAAATGATTAGAGAAGTTCAGGTGGAGGTGTTAAGAGTGGTGAAAGGTGTCTGTAGAATAATTTGAACCATTGCCATAGATGCAAGGTCATCATTAGTATTTTGGAGATTACACTTATTTGAAGGGGTGTGTGTACAGTGGGAGAGTGTGGGTAGCTCTGTGAATATCATTGGTGATCTGAGGAAGTGGCTGGGATAATTAGCAGCAAGTGTGAGCCCTAATATAACAGCTGCACCTTTCTCCTGCATCTCTTCAGTCTGGTAGAGCTTTCATTCCACACAATCTATTACTGATGGTCTTTTGACTTTAAAATTTTTTTTTTAAAGTTCTATGGAGAATGACTTGGCCCCATGTGTGTCTGAGTCAGCAGGGTGACTGCCTGGCTGAACTGTGTCGCATCACCCAGAGGATAGTTTGAGTGTGGAGGGAGCTATTTTTTTACATAAAATTTTTATTTTATTTTATATGCTATGTATCAGTTTTATTGTTTATCATAGCATTTTTTTTTTAATTTGTGATGTATACATTTCGAAATTTAATTCAAATTAGGCTCACCTTGTGCTCTTTAAATTGTTTTAACTTTGAACCACATTGTTTATATACAGTAGAAGTTTGGTGTTAATACATCAATCGTTGAACTTCAAAACCATTTATCACAAACTCGTTTATTATTATTGGGGAGTATCTTACTGTACTCACTGTTTACTGCCCTGCCATTTGAGCCTGTTGTTCACCCTCTGTGCTTGCTGTTATCCCTCGTTTCGCAATAATTTTGCTTAATTTTAGGTTTTCTGGGAACACAACCCCATAGTTAAACGAGGGATACCTGTACAGTATTCCATTTTCAGCTTGTGCTTTCCCACTTCTAGTCTTTAATGTTGATCTCAGATATCTAACGTTATCTGCTGCTCCCAGTTTTTTTCTGTTAAGACAAACTTGTGTTTTTTCTAGGATTTTAAGTGTTTTAAAGGTACTGTACTTTATTAAATGTGGAAGGAGTGTTTGAAGAGAAATTATTAACTGTACTGTATAATATCAATAGAAACTGATTTAGTTACAGGTTTTAATCTTCGTATACCCAGTTCATGTATGTTGTGTCATTCACTGATGTTTTATCATTTGAATAGTTCTGTTGTATGTGCATATGCCACGTTCCAGGCAAATTTTAGTTTAAGATTGTTTTTACAATTTTGCAACAAACTACAAATTTCAAACTCTTCACTCCCCAGGTTCTAACAAGCATCGGTCAGCAGTGACGTGTCTTCAGTTTAACAACAAATTTGTGGTAACGTCTTCAGATGATGGAACTGTCAAGTTATGGGATGTGCGTACTGGGGAATTCCTCAGAAATTTAGTGGCACTAGAATCTGGGGGATCAGGGGGTGTGGTGTGGCGTATCCGGGCATCAGACACAAAGCTAGTGTGTGCAGTTGGCAGCCGAAATGGGACAGAAGAGACTAAGCTACTGGTGTTGGACTTTGACGTTTATGAGAACCTCAAGTGATACATGGGGACATTAGTGTTGGGTGGTGTCCTCTCCATGTATACTTACAAAGTTCAAAGTGATGTTATTTTAACTGTGCTGCCATGTAACCTCTTGATTAGTTTCACTGGTGTGTCAGTTGGACAGTGTTTGTGATGACTAACATTTCCCTGGTGCTAATATTGTACACACAAGATCATCTGACACTCACCGCCATTACCATCTGCTACCACTCCTCCACTTGGCAGATATTGACTTATTTTCATCGTCATTTCCTGTATTTTGAAATTTTATCATTTTATCGAGTAAAGTAACTCGTTAGTTTGTCATTGTCCCAATACAGGTATAGCACTTCAGTGACCTGTATTTTTTAAAGCCATGTTTACAGTCTGATGACTCACTGTATTTCCAAAAGAAGAGTGTTGAAAGTGTCACCAGATCTTATATATGAGAAGAGGAACTAAATGTTGTCTTAAGTTCTTGATTAAAACTAATACAGTAGTTGTTTGGCATTGAATGAAACTTGAAATTAAGAGAAAAAGATCTGGTGAGAAGAGTCACTAGTACAGTATAGGTAAGACATGGTAATGTGTGAGCTCCTGCAGTTACTGGCTGTGTACCTTGTTGTACTCACTATTTGAGGAACTGGGGTGTTCTGGGGTCAATCTTGGAGAACACCAGCCTGCAGGAAGCAGTCAAGACATTTTCAGCATATAACAAAAATATAGACTTTGGTCTGGGTTGTTACTTTGAAAGCGAAAGTGATGACACTGGGTAAAAGTAATGCCAAAAATGAAATAGCTTGTGTCTCGTGATGGAGCATGAAGTAAAAAAGTGAACTCATATACTTATATTTTTTACTTATTATTTTATGGATTGAGGGAAGGGGGGCAGTGAGAGGGCTTGTACGGGTAACAATAAGAAGCTGGTTGATGTCTTGGGTCTGATGTTGTCCCTCTGGTCAGGTTCAGACCAGCCAACTAGCTTTCATAAATAAACTCTCACATCATTCTTCTTTTTTTTTGTGTGTTATTAAAGCTGAGGATTAAGGGTTTATTTGCAGTAATGTGAATAGTGATTTATCTGTGTTGGCATAATGTGTTGTGTGACAACTGCATTGACACTTTCAAAACAGTGGAGGACAATTTGGAAATGATGTACGATTTAGTTGTCTTGTCTCTTTTCATTTTGTTTTTTGATAGGTTCAACTAGTAATTGTAATGTGTAGATATTTTTTCTTTTGTATAATATAATGACATAAGCCATAACAATGCCATTTACTATGGTTTTTATTTTATTTTGACTTTGAAAGGTAGGAAATGATGAAGCTTTATGTTGTGCATAGCGGCACACTCCACGTGGTTGCTGGGGATGTCTCGAGCGGTTTATTCCAGAATTGTTATATCTGTGATGACTAATTATTATCCATTAGTCCTAAAGTTTGTGTGAAGGGCACCTATTTTGTTTCTCCTGTTTTTTCTTCAAGGAGGAATTTAGTTATGTTGGACATATATAGGTCTAGTCTGCCATTTTCTGTGTGACTGCCCACATTGTTATTCTCATGAGATTTATGTTCAATACTTTTAATTTAGCAAAAACGACCACAAAAGATATTATGAAGAGGTGTTATATAAGTGTGGCTTGCAGCTGATAGTGTGGTTTGCTGTTTCAGTACTGTGCAGCATGTCATTACAGCTTGTAGTGTGGCTTGCTTCAGTACTGTGCAGCATGTAGGGTGCCTTGCTGTGTCCCAGTACTGTTCAACATCACAGTACAACTAATAGTTTGCCTTACTGTAATTAAAGTACTGTGTGGCATCTCATTGCATTTGCAGACTGGCTTATAGCAATGCTGTTATGCTTGCAGCATGAGTTTGGCTGGTAGCATCCATGTCATCATTGATTGACTTTGGCTTGTTGAATGACAGGTGGCATCAGTTAGCAAGAGTTGGCTGCTCCCTGCTGCAGTGAGGGACACATTGGCACGTGCCACATACTGATGATTGAATGAGGAAGCTGTGGATGCTCCCGAGTTCTGGCTCGTGACTAATGCCACACCGTTGACCCGTCATTTGTGAGGAAAGGAAACTACAGTGTCTCATTGTAGGAGAAATATATAATTTTGTGGCTTAGCATTATCATTACCAGTTGCAGGAAAATAATGTGGAAGGGGGAAGATTTTAATACTTGAATGAAACCCCATCCTTATAGTCTACCCTAGTCATGGGTGGTATGTTTTGCCTGCTGTGGGATGTTCAATACCATTTTGTCACATACTCAGCCGTCCATTGTTTAGAATATACAAATGTGTTACTTTCCCGTCTTTACAATGATACATCCTCACGAGGTGTACAGGAGTTGAAAAATTATAAGGAGAGGCGGTGGCGGTGTGGTGGTCACGAGCTTCAGGTCTGCACAAACTGCTGGCCTCGCTGCACCTCACCTGGTCCGGGCATTTGTAAACACCTGTAGGAAATACTGTTTTAGTATTTTAATTTTCTTTTCTTTTGAGAAGAGAACTGAGATTGCTCAAGTTTTTTAATCCTTTTAAGTTGAAAATGTGTACATATGTATGTGTATAATGATGTATGTATGTACCAGTGTATGCATACATACTTGTACATACTTTCATACACATATTCATGTCCACATACCATACTACACACAAACACATAAAACAGTGATACAAATACACACTCAGAAATGTATTCACAAATATAAGGGTTATTCAGAAAGTAATAAGACTGCTGGTAGAAGAAAAAAAAGAAAAGATATAGTCCTGGGGTAATTTTTTTTACATTTCTTCAAGACTACTGTACTTCTCTTCCTTGTGTAATAATTTCTGGCAACAGTTTATTCTCAGGGTATGTCGCACTGTGATTATAATTGTTTCCTTTTTTATTCTGAAAAAAAAAAAAAAAGGCACTGCATCACCTGCCCACCACTGCGAACAACTTTTGCTTCATTGGGGCCGTTGGGCTCCCATGTGTTGCTATTGCATTTCATTTTTATCACCCAGAAACTCTTAACATAAGATACTGAATAGCTTAATCTTGGTAACACAGTTTCATCATTTGGCAAAATTCTATTGCAGTATTATTGAGCCGCCAGCAAATTTGATATCACCACAAATCCATGATGAGTACTGTAGGCAGTACTGTCTTCAACTATGAACATTATACCAAGACAGAATATTTGAATGAAACAGCCATGTAACTCAGTGGTGCAGGCTAAAACATGGTTCAAATGTATCTTTTCAATGTTTATTAACAGTAATGAATTTCCAGTCATGGACCTGATCTTATTATTTATTGAACAACCTTTGTACATACACTTCATATTTTTCTGATCACACCTGACATAGTGCATAGCACCAGTATACACACATGCATGTCTGCAGTGTGTATACTGTACTGTACACTGAATAATATTTTTTACATTATTTGTTACACATGTAACATTTTTCACATCCCCTGTAACTGTTTATACACATATAAGGCTCAAGTGTCTGACTAGAGAATATGTGGTCCTTGTATTCCTAGGCAATTTAATTTCACAAGAGAGTCATAGTCAGAATAACAGACACAGCCACTTTTATGTAATGAAATAACTATAAAATTTCCATATTTGACATCATACAATTATGTGTGTTGGTATTTGTTTATATGAAGGCATCTAGGAGGAGCTTTGCAATATTTAGTGTGTTTGCTGATGTTAGGACAAAATACTGTTACTGATGACAAAAATAGACTGGTTGTAGGGTAAAGTAAAAGATGTGTTGCATGGATGTACAATATTAATATTAATGTGATGTAAGAGTTGACAACAAGAACAAAAAATGTATGTGTAATATATGAGAGAAACTGGGATAGTGTTAAGACCAGGAAGAGTTATGTCTTAATAGAACAGGACTCTTCAGGGCTATACCTCATTTGGCATGTGTTTGGATAGTGGGAACTGTGGGAGTGTTAAGATGATAGAGAACTCAAATGGTGGTAGGATAAAGTATTGTAGGTTAGGATAAAGTAAGATTTCTGGGTGATAGTGTATTGAAGTAAAGTGTGAAATAGAGATGGTAGAAAATTTGAAGTTGATTTTAATGTAATGTTTACTTTGCAAAGGTGGTGATAGGATTACAGTATGAAAGGATGTTGTTGGGGTTAAATAAGGTGTGCCTGCATTAATTCATAAGAAGGAGTGATATTAGGATGTACAGGTAGTGGGTTAAGTGAGGGTGGTACTAGGATGAAATAAAGCATTGGGAGAAAAGCACAGTCGATAGAAGAGGAATTGTGCAACAATTAGGGTACTTGTCAAATGTAGGAAACTTTATCTTTAGTTTCTGTTTTAGAAGTGTTAAAATGTACAGTTTGTAAAAAGAATCCATTTGAATATTCTCTTGTCAGATACTAAAGCTTATTACTTGTCTGTACAAGTACAGTACATAACATTCATATTGAAAGAATGCCCTTACACTTTACATCTTTCAGGCATTTTTAATACAATTAAATTAGCCATTTATCTTGTACATCTTGCTTGGTAAGTAAACTGAGCAGTCCTATCATCCCCATGAAGTCATTCTCTGTGTTGTACAGTCTGTCTTGAGGTGTCTGTTAAGTTCTCTTTCTCATTACAACAACATTGCCAGAAGAATAGGCTTTATTTGGGGTCATAACAGGATCACTGTTAAAAGATGAAGAAAAAATTGGATATTATGACTCCTTTTTAGTGGGTAGAACAGAAACTTTCTTATTTCTTGATTTTTTTTTCACAAGGCTATATCTTGTATTTTATACTCGTAATTTTGGCCTAGTTTCGTATCTTATGTATGCCTGTATGTGGGGTCATTTATTTTAGTGAATGAGGTGATGAAGTGCTGTCAAGCGACATTTAGGTTCTTCAGGAGGCTGGTGGCCAGCAAACTTTTCAGCCATTCAACACAGAACTGTCACTCTTGTGTTATTTACACTCAGTCTGTAAACACACTTGGTAATTAAGAGGTGAGTAACTGCAATATATAGTAAGTATGATGAATGGAAGTTATATGATATTTGAGTTGGACTTTAAGGAGTTGTTGGGTTATATTAAGATGGCCATCACCAGTTCTTAGGTGTTATGGGGAAAAATGGTCCATGCTAATTAAGCATAAAGTTTTCATTTTGTCTCTAATCATAGCTCCTACAGTTAGTGAAATATTGGCATAAATATTGCAGTATGAATTTTGGCTGTTATTTGCCTACAGTACTTTCAATTAAACTTGTCTTTATGTAGCTAAAAGTAATTTTTATGTAGTAGTCACTTGTCCAGAAGTCACATGTTTGTTGTGTGATAGAAAGGCAAACTTCCAAAGGGAGATTTACCATCGTAGCCAAACAGGGTATTTTTTACAACTGATAATGCCAGAAATCAAAAGAAATAATGCTATTGGTCATCATATAACTGAATATAACTTGTACATAAGTAACTTCCTTCAACAAAATCTCCTTTGTACAGTAGTCAGTTTTATATGAAAATATATATAAATGCATAAAAAATTAATTGATGGAGCCTCAGTTTAATCTGCTAGTGTCACTCAAGGGAGTGTGTGTGTGTGTGTGTGTGTGTGTGTGTGTGTATGTGTGCATATGTGTGTGTGCATGCATGTATGTGTGCACGTGCACACATGTGGAGGTTAGAGCAGCAGTCCCGCTGTGCCCAGGAATATGATTTCCAACATAAATTGTGATTAATAAACTTTTTAATATATATTTTATCTTTTTTTTTACACCCTTTGTGAACATCAAAAATTCTACTAAATCATTAGGTAACTCCTGTAGGCGAACACCTTATGTTTTTTTGTTTTTTACCGCCTTCACTGGAGGTACTGTATCAGGTTCTCTCTCCCTCCCTCTGCTTGCTGGCTTGAAAGTGTTCACATTACAACTGTTGATTCATCCCATAGTTCCTCACACTTGATATATATACCTGCTCAGCACTGCGCTGTACTGGTATGTATCAAAGTGGTTGATGGTTTCTTATCATCTGTTAAATAGAAAATTTACCCATAATTTTTAAATTGGTCGTCTGCCTTTTGCCTTCATATTACAGTGTATTACTAGTAGTGAAGGTATTACTAGTAGTGAAGGTATTACTGGCAGTGAAGGTATTACTAGTAGTGAAGGTATTACTAGTAGTGAAGGTATTACTAGCAGTGAAGGTATTACTAGTAGTGAAGGTATTACTAGTAGTGAAGGTATTACTGGCAGTGAAGGTATTACTGGCAGTGAAGGGGTTACTAGTAGTGAAGGTATTACTAGTAGTGAAGGTATTACTAGTAGTGAAGGTATTACTGGCAGTGAAGGTATTACTAGTAGTGAAGGTATTACTAGTAGTGAAGGTATTAGTGAAGGTATTACTGTAGTGAAGGTATTACTAGTAGTGAAGGTATTACTGGCAGTGAAGGTATTACTAGTAGTGAAGGGTACTGGCAGTGAAGGTATTACACCTGAAGGGGTTACTAGTAGTGAAGGTATTACTGGCAGTGAAGGTATTAATAGTAGTGAAGGTATTACTGGCAGTGAAGGTATTACTAGTAAGGTATTACTGGCAGTGAAGGTATTACTAGTAGTGAAGGTATTACTGGCGGTGAAGGTATTACTAGTAGTGAAGGTATTACTGGCGGTGAAGGTATTACTAGTAGTGAAGGTATTACTAGTGAGTATTACGGTGAAGGTATTACTAGTGGTGAAGGTATTACTGGAAGGTATTACTGGCAGTGAAGGTATTACTGGCAGTATATACTGGCAGTGAAGGTATTACTGGCAGTGAAGGTATTACTAGTAGTGAAGGTATTACTAGTAGTGAAGGTATTACTGGCAGTGAAGGTATTACTAGTAATGAAGGTGTATTAGGTATTATGAAGGTATTACTAGTGAAGGTATTACTGAAGTATTACTAGTAGTGAAGGTATTAGTAGTGAAGGTATTACAGTGAAGGTATTACTAGTAGTGAAGGTATTACTGGCAGTGAAGGTATTACTAGTAGTGAAGGTATTACTGGCAGTGAAGGTATTACTAGCGTGAAGGTATTACTGGTAGTGAAGGTATTACTGGCAGTGAAGGTATTACTGGCAGTGAAGGTATTACTGGCAGTGAAGGTATTACTGGCAGTGAAGGTATTACTAGTAGTGAAGGTATTACTGGCAGTGAAGGTATTACTAGTAGTGAAGGTATTACTGGCAGTGAAGGTATTACTAGTAATGAAGGTATTACCAGTAGTGAAGGTATTACTGGCAGTGAAGGTATTACTGGCAGTGAAGGTATTACTAGTAGTGAAGGTATTACTGGCAATGAAGGTATTACTAGTAATGAAGGTATTACTAGTAGCGAAGGTATTACTAGTAGTGAAGGTATTACTGGCAGTGAAGGTATTACTAGCAGTGAAGGTATTACTGGCAGTGAAGGTATTACTAGTAGTGAAGGTATTACTTGTAGTGAAGGTATTACTGGCAGTGAAGGTATTACTTGTAGTGAAGGTATTACTGGCAGTGAAGGTATTACTTGTAGTGAAGGTATTACTGGCAGTGAAGGTATTACTTGAAGTGAAGGTATTACTGGCAGTGAAGGTATTACTAGTAGTGAAGGTATTACTGGCAGTGAAGGTATTACTTGTAGTGAAGGTATTACTTGTAGTGAAGGTATTACTGGCAGTGAAGGTATTACTAGTAGTGAAGGTATTACTGGCAGTGAAGGTATTACTGGCAATGAAGGTATTACTAGTAGTGAAGGTATTACTGGCAGTGAAGGTGTTACTTGTAATGAAGGTATTACTGGCAGTGGGAATGTTAATGATGGTAATGATTTTGGTAGTGGTGACAGTGACAGTTGTAGTAATGATGGTAAAAGGAGTGAGGTTGGTGATGGTCGTAGTGAGGGAAGTGGCAAGTGTAATAAGGTGGTGGTAATGAGGGAAATGGAGACGATGGTGGTGGTAGTGAAGGAAGTTGTGAATGATGATGGTAGTACTGGTGATGCAAATGGTGTGGTGTGGTAGTGAGGGAGGTAGGAGTGGAGTTGGTTGAGGTAAGGGTGAAGTGACGTGGAAGAAGCAATGACAGTGGTGTAGGGTGGTGGTAGGGGTGACGGGGTGATAATGGTGGTGTGGTGGATGATGGTAGTGGGAATAAGGGTGAGGAGCGTGATCGTGGTTGTGGTGGTAGCAGTTACAGTGGCAGGGGTGCTAATACTGGTAGTGGTGACTGATTCTGGTGGTAAAGATAGTGGTAACAATGATAACAGTGGTTGTGCTGGTAACATTTGTGGTGGTAAAACAAGTGGTGATGGTGTTGATAGAAGTTGTAGTCGTGGAGGTGGTGGTGGTATTAGTTATGACAGTATCAGTGATTATGGTGATTGGTAATAGTTGTGGTGACAGCGAGACCAAAATCACCACAATAATGTATGGCAGTTTTCAGAGGTGATGGTGCCGGTTAATTAGAGATATGGTGCCGCTAGTTACTCGTGGTAAGGACAGCACCAGTAACAGCACATTAATGACAAAGGTTAGTTGACACATGATGATAATAGTGTGGTAGCACCAACAACACCACAATAATGGTGGTAGCAGGTTAGTTATCAGAGAGGGGCCACGCCCAGCCCGTGACACACACACTTTTAGCAGACATAAATATTAGCGGTGTGTGTGTGTGTGGCGGCCACAGGTCTGCGGGCTCTAAAATGCGCGGGAGCCTCATCAGAGTGGAAAGAGGTCAGGGTGGAGCCATAAGGTGGGCAAGCCGGAGGATAACGAGGTGGGTCCCGCTTAATGACCCAACCACCGCCCCCCTCCCCACCCTCCCCGCCCCCCTCCCCACACCCACCAATTAAGGGGAAGTGTGGGCCTGGCTGGTGACCACGCCCACACGCCTTAGCTCGGGTCAACCACCTCCTTACTGATAAGTCATATCTGAGGAGCCATGATGAGGGCGGCGCCCCCCGACTAGTGGCCCAGGCAGGGTAATGTGTTGTGTTAGGCATGCATCATTACGCTCTCGACCCGCCCCCTGCCACCACTCCGTCTCCCATCACCCCTCCCTACACCACCGCCACACGGTAAACCGGGGGCTGAGGAAACCAGGGGGATGAGGGGAACAGGAAGGGGACCTGAGGGAGGGAGGGAGGGTAGGCTCGGGCGAGGGCAGCAGTCAGTCAGTCCAGCACAGTGATCCCTGCAGGCCAACACAGCCTCCTCCTCCACGCTCCCTCCACCACCACCTTAATTAATCAGGTACCTCCCAAGCACTACCTTCCATTATACCACTCCTCTTCTATTATTAGTGTGCACATTTATTGTTAGTACTGTTGTTTTTATTGTCTTTCCACTATTACTATTGTTTTACCGTTATTGCTACAGTGTTTATTATTGCTTTACTACTTTTTTAATTTTCGTCATCACCTGTCTGTTATCTAGGATGTAAAACAATAATTATCAACTTATGTATTAAGTGAGTAACAATGGCGGCCACTCACACGGCGTTCATACGAGCGCGCGCTAACAATACGAAACTATTGGGACAGCCTCTTAAGTATAGATTTTAGTTTAAAGTGTCCCTAATAATGGCTTAGGTTTTTGTTTCTACAATTCACAATTCTTTCTGTACATGGAACTTAGCCAGAAGAAAACTCAGGTTATTCTTTATGATTTTATTAAGGCAGGTGATAAGCGACTTGGAGGATAACTAACTTAACTAAACTAACTAACCTAATTTAACATGACCTGACCTAACCTAACCTAACCAGCAGGAAGGTGACATTACACTTCGTTTTTATTATCAGCCATTAATGCAAGTTAAAGGAGTGGGCGTCTGAGTGAATAGGTTTGAGAAAGACATTTGTTTGGTAATATTAAAAGAATAAAAGAGTATTAATGATGTGCAACTTGTTTAAGATGATACTGTTATACCCAAAGAGTCTTATACTGTATAAATAGATGAATGGACCTTGTTGATTTGCTTTGTGTATTGTTCATATTGTAGTGACATCATTTATATCAGATTAAAATATTCCTTTAGTTTCAGTTATCATCCCAAGAAAATTTAGTTTGGTGAAAGTTGGTTTTATTGACGTGTATAGTGAATACAGAAACCTAGACATCACTAACTTGGTGTGAATACAAACTAAGGAACAGTCACATAAAGTGCCATAACAGGGGTTCAAAGTTGCCAAGATACTGTTTTTAAAATCTCTATGGATACTTTCCGTTATACCGCCGCAAGATTTTTAAGGTCATAAGTTTTTTTCTTCATATAACTTAACATAACCAAACCTAAGCAAACTTAATCTAAACTAGGTTATGTTATGTTAAGTCTTGAAAACTTTTGCGTGGGTTTAAGGGAAAAGTACCCTTGTGTATAAAGCACATGTTTATGGCGTGTGTATGGCTGGGCCCCTCAACTTAAATATGAAAACAAAAATAGGTGGTTTAGGAAATATGTCCCCAACTCAACTAATTTTTTTTTACATATTTTAGATGATAGGCTATTGATTTTAAGCCAGTAGACATACGACATCATTACACACAGTAGCTCTTGTTGTGGTGACTGGTGAGTGGTACCTGCACAGTATAAACATTGTAGCTCTTTCTGTTCTCGAGTACTGCTGATGGTGTGCATATATAGTACTCTGATAAATGCAGGAGAGGGAGATGGCGCCCTTGTTCTCAGGACAGGTCGACGTAAGTAGTCAGTCGTCTTAGTGTGAGGAAAATAGAACAGTAAAGATGTTGTATTTATCATTGTTCTAGTTGATAAAAATCCCAGCAGTGGACAGTCATCTCCATCTGTTTACTTTCATTTTTTAGCTTCTGGCAAATTATGTCATGTGTCCTGAAAAATAATTAAATTATATATATTTTTATATAATACCGACAGCGTATCCCACCATCTTCGACGACTGCCACGGAAATTAATTGTCACGTCAGCAGGAGTCCATTTTTGTCATCACTACTTAAAGTAAAACAAAGTGTGAGGAAGAATGGAACTGTACAGTGTGTGTGAGGTACCTGCCACCACTGGTGCGTCAAGGCAGTGACAAGTGAGTAGTGCAGCCCGTCGTGGGGAACATGCAAGCGGCGGTCGATTAACTAAATTAGTGTTATTTGCACCGTCATCAGTGAGTCCTCTCATATCAATCCTCTTCAACCGTGTTGTTCACAAAATATTAATATGACAACATCGTAATGTAGTCAAGATTATCACAAAGATTTGGAGTAGAAAATTCCTTTATAAGAACAAGACAAGTAGACTTGACTGAGGTTATAACACTTCAATGGACACTACTAAGTCAAATGTTTATATTTGGAATTAGCTGATGGTTGCTTCATTAAGAAGCTGTTAGCACAAAAACAATCAGAACTAACTTCTTTGGAGTAGGTGTTTGGGGCTCATGGATGGAATAATCTATCAGCGAATGTAGTGACAACACCGAGTGTGAACTAGCGAAGTCCAGGGATGACTAACACTGAAATGAATCATGTCACATGATGCGTGATCGTGAGTATGGCGAGTGTTTACCAGCAGTGAGCGACAAATAAGTGACTAACCGGCGAGCAAGTTCAGAGAAATAGCCAAGAGGATATAAGATAAAAGATAAGTAAAAATAAAAGTAAGATGCAGAGAAAAAAAAGCAAGAACTTATGTAAAATAAACATATTCGAAATTCCACGTAAATATGGACAGGGTGCAGTACATATTGAGAAACGTTTGTAGTCCAGCAAGGTATTGTGCTCTTTCAATCTTGTGTCAGGAAATAAAGATAAAAAACGAGTAAAACATAATGCCAGACCGTGTCATCAGCATTATAATTATCAAATGCAAAATGATAAGATTCGCCGAAACTGCTAAGTGTAAGGTCAGGGTTTTGAACAAGGAAACAAAAAAAGAATAAAAATACAGTGGTACTGACAGTGTACACCGCTTCCACATTAGGAGCGTAACTAGCAGGGAGCAGGGGGGTACAGCCACACCCTGGCCTCCTGCAACAGGAGGCCTCCTGACTCTTGTCCATTCATGATAAGAAAAATCTTCGGTAAAGTTATAGTTTAGGGAAGGCCCTTTATAAAAATAAAAATATTACGTATACAATGAAAATGCGGTTTCAAGGAATGAATTCGGTTGCGAAAACATTTCAGCCTATTTTCCAGCGTACTGTACAGTACTGAACCTCAGATCTGAGCCAGATGATCATATATCACCTGTTTTAGGGAGCTGTTAAAATCACTGTCGACTGTGCTTGAAATGATTACGTGTATAATTGTAGACTTAACTCACAAACCCTTGATGACGATGACATAAACCCTTGATGACAATGACATAAACCCTCGATGACGATGACAAACCCTCGATGACGATGACATAAACCCTCGATGACGATAACAAACACTTGATGGCGATGACATAAACACTTGATGGCCATAACAAACTCTTGATGAAGATGACCAAATGATGTTTGAAGTGTTAATGAAATGATCGTTTCCTGTCAGGTTAGGTTAGCTGGGGCCCGGGACGAGCGTTGTACAGCATATACTCAGCTGCTGCACTTAATGTCTGCGTTGAAAGCATGACAAAAAGATTACCAAAAATTAGTGTTAAACAGTCAGAGCAGCTGGTCGTTAACGTTACAGTGAATCAATGCGTTTCAACAGTTAAGGCCTTTAAGTGCGTAAAAGGGGTTAGTAATTACACTAGTTCATCAACAGTTAAGAAGTATAAGAGAAACAACTCTGTCACCTGGCCAGACAGTCTCAGGCAGGAGTTTTAGGTATTTCGTTGATTTACAAATTGATTCGTTTTTTTTTTCATATACTCAATAAGGATGGGATTAGAGGGGAACAACCCCTCTTCTCACTCTCCCCTTTCAGTACACCATTACTCTTAACAGAGATGCTTAAGGGCACTCGTCCTCACAGGTCATGCCCCGGGTATCTTGGGGGGTTGGGGGGAGACAGATGTCACATATCCACCGTCAAATAAAACTCTAAGTATCCAGAGCAGACATTTATAAGTAATATTTAGTCATTTTATTCCATCAAGTGAATGTTTTTTTTTTCAGATGGTTGAAGTACTTTAGATTACTGACAAATAAAGGAACGTTCAAATACTGTTATCATAAAGTAATCTCCGTTCTGTGCACAGTGTAAACCTCGCCATCTACACACGCCTGCCACTTGAGCTCTTAATTTCGTACATTACACATAGCTCCGCTCATTTGAAGCAAAATAATACGGAATTTAATTTCGGTTATATTTGAACCGAAAAATTGGAGTGATGGTCGTGAAATACATATGCCTCACTGGACTAAATAGGTTGAAATCTAAACAGGCACTTCCGGCATGCATTAGAAAACCCTACCAAACTTCATTGTTCCACGTCGGATGCTCTTTGCTATCTTTTATTAACATATCAGAGGGCGTTTACCGTAAGATTATCGTGGCGAACCCCATAGCATGATTTACATTTACGTAACCCCTCCCATGCACCACCCACCCCATGGGCGGACTAATGGACTGACAGGTAATAAATCAATATGCTGTCCTTATAAGCAGTGGGAGCATAAGATGGACAGCTCAGGAAATTCACGTGCTGATATTCCCCAAAAATATGAGGCTACGCTGTGGCTAAACACTTAACGATTCTATCCATGGGCGAGGTGAGTGTCCAGTCGCCAAAGACCTTGCGGTAGTCTTAAGCAACAATGAAAGTATATATCATAAACAGCTAAAACATAAACTCCCTTTACTTTCAAAAGTTTTAACCCTGAAAAACATTGATAATTACTTTCCTTATTGCCTGATAGTTTTTGTCTAGTGTATGAATCCGTTTACAAGAACGGGCTGAAAAGAAACTGAGTTGTTGGAACACAGCAACAACACTTTCGGCTTTAACATTCCCGAGGGAGGACCAACCTACAACAGTCGTACTACAACTGAACTTTGCTTGGCTTAAGTAGCAAGGAAAGAGTAGGATAAAAGAGCAAGTTAGTGTAAGTATGACGCTTTGAGGCAAGTTTTAATGTTGGTAAAGTAGCAGCAATGGTTTTTACTACGGGCTGGGTGTAGTAGTAGTAGTTAAAGTAGTAATGTTTTTTTTTTTAAACGTGGCCTCCAGCCTCCCCCAATAGCCACACCTTCGCCACCATTTAATTACCTTAATATTAAATATCCTAATACATAAGTAGCTATCCTATCTGTGTTAAATTAGTTGAGCCGCAGATCTATGCGGCATTCATAGTCAATATCTGCAGCAGTTGTCGGAGTTGGGGCAGAAGCTCTCGTTCCCCTGAGGCAGAGCAAAGCCGACCGAAGGAGAGAGAAAGACAGTCGACATCTCATCCAGGCTGTAACATAACTTCTGGGCTGCTGCTTCTGTTCGGAGATCAACTCCGCGAGTCTGGCGTAGAAGCATCTTGCACTTGGTCCCATCCCACCAGAGGTTGTGAACACTAGAGGAGTGAAGCTGCCTTGATCAACGTTTTGAATTCTCTCCCCATATGCCCTTCTCTTGTCGTTCTCGTTCCTCCTATGTGCAGCATCGAGAGCTAGGTTACGGTGACATGCGGCCATGGGATAAAAAATCCTGATGTCGAAGAAAGCTCGCTGTCCCCGCGTCCAGAATCCTCGAGCACTAACGTCCACACGGGCTTCGTTAGATGTGTTTGAAGTCCTGTGTTGGAAGATCTCACCATCCAATGGAAGGAGGGTCGGTTCTACCATGAAATCCCGGCAGATTTCCTTCAACATATTTGCTGTGAGATCCATTACCTCGTCATGCCTCGTGCATATGAAGCCCCCCCTTCTTGCACACCATGGCGTGATCGCCATCATAGGAAGAGCCACACACGCATTGGGAAGGCAAACCTTCTACTGGCCGACCGTACCTTAGAGCAATGGCATCTATAAATTCTTGTTTATTAAGTAGTAATGTTAACAGTTAAAGTAGTAATGTTAATAGTAGAAGTAGGATTACGTGTTGTAGTGTATTTCTAGACTGCATACGGAAGTAACACTAACGGGTTAGTTGAAACACGGCTAAAATCTCTAGAAAATGAAGGTTTAGGATCGGCATCTGTTACTAGAAAATTTATGGTCATTCTAAACATAGGGTATACCCACACGACTGAGATTGAGACGTAGAACTATATCTAAGTGCTGTTATGGTGTACCGACTTTTGGTATGTGAACGCTCACTCTGTTTTGATTTTTTTTTGCAACCCTATGACGCAAACTAGACTGAGTGACTCGATGGTTTTTGGCTTGTCAGTCAGAAGGAATTTAACCAGAGAATTTTCATAAAGTGCTTGTTGAATTCTGGAATCTTGGTTCAAGTCGATAAATATCATGTATTACCGTATATTTTATACTAAAGAATTTATACAATGTAAGTTATATCTTGTTAATATACCGGTACTTGATACGTTTATGGAAAAATCTGTCATCATTGGTATAAAAAATTCATATTTGGCGCACGAAGTAATGTATCCATAAAGTGTATTTTTAGAAGTATAAAATTATGTTACTAAAACCTAATTTCTTCATGTGTATAAAGTCTATACTGTAAAAGTAGATTCAAGTATGAGAGAAACTAACAATGCATTTTCATAGTCCTTATGAGAAAATTCATTGTTAGATTTTTGCGTTAGTTTGTTTGTGAGTGTGCTTACGTTTGTCGTGCAGGTAAGACGCTGGCATGGACATTTTACAATGGCAAAAGTACATGAACTCGTGACAAACACAACCTCTTTTACTATCGTGAACAAAAGCAAACAAACATAACATTGCTATTGATATTACTTAAATGAGTAAAAACGACAAGAAAATGACGCTGACAGTAAATGCAGACTTACACAGAGTACTAAGCAAATGCAATTTCAGAACTAGATTGTACTGTACGTGCTGATAAAATAGCTAGATTCATTTACTGGATTTGAAAAGAATATAACTTTTTTTTCTGAGCTACATTAATTGTCGGGTGGGTGATTATACGGTATAAGACACACCTGCTTCCTCAGGATTTACGCTCATTGTTTTAAGGCTTGCTCCCCCATTTTTTTTCGTGCATGACGCTTCTGATTCTTACGTAGATGCGAGAGTACTAGGACTAGGCTATGATGTTGTAAGATAGATAAGACTTAGTAATATTAGTACTTGGAGAGGTGTAGTAATGATAGTAGTACTGCGATAGGTGTAGTAGTAGTCGTAGTAGTAGTTGCAGTAATGACATTTGAAAGTGAACAGGAAAGAGTGGTGTCAGAAATATCTTTTGTCTACTTATCAGACATTCCAATCAGCACAGTTCATTGTCCTGGTGTCTGCTTGTTGAGCTGGCGTCCTTGGTGGTGGCCTTGGCAAAGATTCCTGGCAGCTGGTTGATTTATAAGTCAGGGATCACAGTCATAGCCACGTCAAGCGTAATTCCTTTCACCACACCTCCTGCAGTCGACGGCGCGACACTGAACTTTAATCAC